CATGCTGTGTTTCAAGGTGGAGATGCACGTCAGTGTCGCAGCAGAGCAGACTTTCCACCTTCTGTCAGACCTGAGGAGGAGAAAAGAGTGGGACCGACATTATGAGTCAGTAACATGTACATTTTGCATCATCTGACGCAGGGCAACTTACAGTCAACAGCAACAGCAGAAAGAGCTTAAAGGATAAGCCTGGTGTTAATCTATATTTTTCTTACTGTCAACAAATCACATAAAAAGACCAAAACCAACGTTGCATTTATCTGTCACTACCTTCTGTCTTCCCTCCTCTGTGGCTCTCAGTACTAGGTCCATTTGTTTCCTCTTAAAAACAGAAATGGTTTAAAACACCTCACAAATATATAGTGTAATTCTTTCTAAAAAGGCTCAGTAATATCCCGGGAATTGTAGTTTTTTAGCAAACTTAACTCGTACAGGAGGGAATGGGACATTTATTGAGGACTAGTTTCAGCTGCGGATTAATATGCCATTAGTGAATATTAAGTTAGCAGGATAATGTATATCAGATAGAATCAAAATATGTTACAGTGCTTATATTCATGGTAATAAATGAGCATGTCAACCTGTGCAATGGTCGGTGCATTACTCCTAATTTTTGGATAAATTATTTAGCCTTAACTTTTTACAGAATTTGTTGACAAAAGAGGAAATAAATATCACCAGACTTATCCCTTTAATTCCTCAGGTCAGGGCCGGCTTTAGGCAGAGGCCACCATTTAGGGTGCCACCAGCTGGAGGGCAGCCAAAGAGGAGAAGGAAATATTTCGTAATTGCCCCTGATCTACTTTTAAAAGTCTGTCATTGACATCCAGTCCCCCCCCCCCCGAAAAAAAACCCAGTGCTCACACACTGCACTGAACACCTGATACTGAGACAGCCTGTTGAAGGCCACTCTGCTGGGGGCTGACTCTTGCACAACTTGCTTGTTTTTCCTGAGATTTTCCAACCCCATGGTTCATTTGCTCACACGGCTGTTTAAGTTTCACAGTAACCGGGTTACTCATGATCCATACAAACATTATATTATGATCCACTGTAGCTGTCCAGGTGTGTCCTCAGCTCGAGTCATGTAGCCAGTGAGTCGGCAGGTTTAACAGTTGAAGTGAAAGTCTTATATTAATAACACCTGCTCCTCACTGCTAAAATTTACATTATAAAGACTGTCTTTAATGTGAAGGCATCAAAGCCACTGATGAACAGTAAGCTGATAATGTTAGAATCATGCAGAGATGTGAATAATCAGGTTCTGCCCTATATCAGATCCTGAATGTGGTTAAACCAGGATAATCCATAACAGGGACGAGTGTCCATGTAAAGATAGAAACTGACAGATGATGCAGAAGAGACACAGAACAGAAGTTGAATAAAGTTACATTTGAAAAAAAAATCAAGTATTAGAAATTATTATAATTGTCATAAAATATTCAAATGAAAAAGGTCAGATGTCTCACCGAGGACACCAATGGGTCTGGAGACGGCCCTGCCTCAGCTCTATTGTAACGATAAAAGATATAATGACAAGAGTGTGAGACTTAAAGCTCATTGCTGATGCTGGTTATGTGTGTCAACTGCAGGGAGTGTGAGGTGATCATCCAGGTGGACGAGGAGGACACCCTTTATCGTGTCGCCACACCCCCTGTCAGTAAAGGGCGCAAAGGCCAGGACTTTATCTTACTGGCATCTCGGAGGAAGCCGTGCGATGCCAGGTGTTGCAATATACAACATAAACACTTGTGTCATTTCACTTTTTTATTTTTTGTTACTTCACCGCTTTCTTCATTCTTGATTTCCTACTCTACCTTTATATATGATCTTTTTATGCAACCAGTGTTATTGCCTTACTGCCTCCTGCTCGCTCTTTCATAAAGTCTCATGATGCTATCCTCTTTTGTCCCTCTCAGAGACCCATATCTGATCGCTCTGCGCTCCGTCACTTTGCCCACTCACCCTCCCACTGAGGACTACACCAGGGGAGAGGTGCTCTGTGCTGGCTTCACAATCTGGGAAGAGTCCAGCTCTGTCACCAAGGTTGGCCAAATGAGAGGGTCACTCAGCTCAGCATGCACGCTTGCTATTGTCACATGACAGCACCGCACGTTGTAGCTTAAAACAACACAACTGCAACACAAGAGCAAAAGGTAATTGCAAGTTGTAAAGGTTTACTGCACCACAGCTGACCTTTGTTTTTTGTTTCAGATCACCTACTACAACCAGGCCACACCGGGTGTCCTCCCCTACATCTCCACAGACATCGCTGGCCTCTCGTCCAGCTTTTACAGCGCCTTCTCCGCCTGTAGCCACTTTCTGGAGGCCAACAAGGACAGCCCGGCCGCTCTGCCGCCCTCTGCACTGCGACACAACAGTGATACCACAGTCTCCCTACAAGAGGAACAGTAGCATTAGTGCCACTCTGAGATTACAAACGTCTTGGCTATGGATTTGTAGTTTCTGTTGTATATTTGAACTTGCTGATTTTTTCTTGAAAAAGACTAATAGGTATGAATCAAGAGTGCACAATGTTTCTGAGTCTCTCTTGAATCTAAAGCCTCAAGTTTTATAGTCAAGTCAATATATTATGGAAAACCTTCTGTGCAATACTAATTTATAGGTCAATGAAGCATATTTTGGTGCATAGTTTTATGTATTTAACACAACCTCACCAATCTATTATCTTGTTTTAAATGACTTGTTCAGGCACAAAATAATGAGTATAAATCCAGTCTAAGCAGACTAAGAAATGTTTGGATCAGCTTCTTTTGTTATAGCTCATTTTCTACCTCCTTGAAAAAAGTTTTTAGACTATTTGATTAAACATTAAAATAAAAGTAAGTTAAGATGTTCATACATTTAGTGTATAATGATTCTGTTTTATTTTGAGACACCGATGTATAGTTGTGGAGCAGTGTACTTCCACTGATTGTATAATATGTGGACATTCAATGGCCAAGTATCTGACATGACAAGCTGTCTTGATTTAACTGACACAATAAACGCATTCGACCAGTGGACTATGCTCATATGAGCTGTTGGTTTGGTGTTCACCTCCCTCCCCCCGCATTCCTTCCATTCCTAAACCATTTTTTATAAACAATAAAAAAAAGAAAGACAGAAAAACACAGCTTGCAGTTGTATCCAGCTGTAACTTGTGATGTTGGTGTTGCAATAGGTGCACAAGGCCAGCAGAGGAGTAGGATGGAGTCTTCAGTGAAACCGTCATGTCTCCTCTGGCTGCCTCTGACTAGGGCTTATAGGAGTCAGTAGCTCTGCATGCTTTCCAGGTATTGTGTTTGTTCCATGATCATCCTGTTTTGGTCACACTGCTTCCTGGACAGCAACACAAGGAGAACAAGAGCATGTAAGATAACATAAAATCTCATCTGTATCATCTGGAATGATAATATAAATAAATAAAAAAGAAGCGTGAAGTCGTCAGTATAGTGTGATATTTCAGATAAAATGATGAAATACTGTCAGACACATGCCAGTCAGTAATCCTGTAAAATAAATATACCCGAAGCATCGCTGAATGAGTGTCTTGTGTGGTTTGGCCTGCAGCTCAGCACGCTCCCTGCCAGTTCACACTGCTCTGCAGGTCACTGAACAGCGTCTGATGTGTGCTATTCTCGCCTCAGTCAGTGAGGCAAGCTGCCACCTGAGGGCTGTCTTCAGTGCCCACACTCAAGCCATTCTCCTCTTCCTCCTCCTCATCGTCCCTCCGCCTGCAACCTGTTGGCTGTCATGCTGCGAGGCAGGCTTGTTGATGGAGCTTTGACTATATGGGCCTCAAGATTAGTGGATACACAGTGTGGTTGGAGGTGGCAGAAATCTTTGCCCTGACTGCACCAGAATAGCACCATTACTAAACCAAAGCAGTGCAGTCCTGAGATGCCTCAGTAAATACGAAAATGAAATAAAAAAAAATTCTGCATCAAAGCAGTAGGTGCTAGAGCTTTAATGCGCAGAAAATTATCTCTTTCTATCTTTAATATATTACTGTCAAGCATTTGAAAAACCGCACCTAACTATAAGGAACAGTATAATGCATGTTGGAAAAAATTAGTTTGTGATGTTCTCTTCCAATCACTGTAGAAGAAATACATGCAAAATTGAGATTGATACATTTCTCGTTAAAGAGCAGTGTTGATGAAGGCATGGCTTAGTCTCCCTGTTAGTACCACTGAGAGGTGTTTTTGGAAACCCTTCACTCCCTAGATATATCCTTATATTGTTGTCATGGAGATCTGGGAACTGTAGGATGTGTTTTTCTAAAACACAGCGCCAGAAATGTGGTTTATGTGAAATACATTTGGGACCTGAGGAGGAGTTTACATTCAACAATTAGACACAAATGACACTTCATGGGGTTTTAAAACAGATTCTCATATTTCCATAGATTCAATATTCAGTATTTAGATTTGACTCTTTTCAAGCTAAAAGTGGAATAAAATAAAAAAAACATTTCAAATGTTTGTATAACATATGAACATTTTACATAATATTTCATGGTTAGGTTCTAATCTGATTTTCTAGGTCAAGTGTTGTTTTCCTCTTAATTGAACAGATGCAAGACTGTGATACGTCTTTATATTGGAGGCCTTCTGCAAAAATAATAATAACATGAATGCGGAATATGACTAAATATACAACAGTAAAAGATAAAAATATATAAAATAACATATCAACTCTCAAAATAGACTCAAAATAATCTATAATAATAATAATAATAATAATAATAATAATAATAGAATAGACTCGACTCATCACAAACGTTGAAGAAGATTGATTTCATAATATAGAGTATAGCTGTCATTTTTTAAATTTATTTTTGGTCCGTAAACCTTGCACAGGTTATGGCTTTTCACCCATACAGTCTGTGGTTTTGGCACTTACCACATGCTGCGCTCACTCCCCGCCCACGTTGCACACATGCAACCACGTGACTGAACCCGGATATATGAGAGAGAGAGATAGAGAGAGAGAGAGAAAGGTCTCATACAACCGCGTTACTTGTTTGACATTATAGTGAACATATTTAATGGACACTGGAAGCGACAGTATGAGCCAAGAATGTGTCCGGAAACTGCAACTTGCCACCAGAGAAAAGCTCAGAAAATTTAACTCTCTGCGCGGTGAGTTTTGTTTTTGGCTCTGATCAGTGTCAATATTGAGCTAAAAGTCATCCTGTCTTAATATTGAATCCTCCGTGCCAAGCTGGTGTGTCTCAACTGGCTCCTTTTTCCTCTTCTTGTCCATGTGTGAAGGTCGGGAGGTGGAGGGTGGGGAGTTTTGGGACGTGGTGGTTGTGACCGCTGTGGATGAGGGCCAGAGAGAAGCTTATGAGCTGCAGCTCAGAGAGAAAGTCGACAGAAAAGAGCTCCCCCTCGGGATTCACTACAAGGTCTTCTCAGATCCTCCTGGATCTAAAATAGGTGAGTGAGTGAATCAGACAACACTCTCCAGTTTCATTTCACACACCTCTGGATGTGACTGAGAGGGATCAACGAAGCACTACATCATCCTCACCAAAATTATTATAGTTATTATAAATAATGATAATAACAATATGACCTATTGTATTTAAGGGAATGGGGGCTCCACTCTGTGTGCACTGCAGCAGCTGGATGACATCTATGGGAAGGCTCTGGGCAGACAGAGAGTCATCCTGATCCATGCAGGTTTGAGATTTCTCTTGTATTTTTTTAATTTTTCTTCCAAAGCAGACAGGGATAAGCTCCGCCTCTCACATGACATCGATCTGCAGAAAAAGGACAGATGGATGAATTGTTATTGCATGCCTGTATACTGTAAAAGCACTGTTCTGACAGATCATGGTATTTTGTCATAATCAAAAATGGTATAAAAACGTATATTGCCAGAAATGAGTGCATCTCATTGATTGCAACATTGTCCCCAGTTGCTACCACAGTATGTAAATGTTATAGCAGAATCTCTGACAGTAAATTTTTTTTAATCATCTCATAATGTATCTTATCTGGGAGAAAGAAAGAAAGAAAAAGGGATCATGTAAATATAACAGCTGTAATGAAGGGATGTCCTGTCCTGCTGACTCCATTACTACCCATAAGCTGTTGGAGCCACTGCAGCCCCATAGTCAGTGTTACTCTCTAAATGAAAGTAAGGATATTATTGTGGTCTTTATTTTATTTATTTTTTTGCCACTGCCATTTGGCTCCACTTTTTGACAATTTTCACACATGAAAATGTCCAAATCAAAGTAACACAGTCAGGAACACTCGGTGCCTATTGTTGAGTTATTAATTTTCCATAAAAAAAAAAAACAACAACAAAAAGACATGGCAACACTGCAGAGTGTAAAATGTCCCCCCGAGTCGAGTTATTTCAAAGTTAAGCATGAACTACATGTGATGTTTCCCGCTTTACCTTTTCTCCTCTTATTCTTCCAGGGGGGTTCAGTCAACGTTTGCCCAGTGCCAGTGCTCTGGGAAAGATCTTCACCGCCATGCCGCTGGGTGACCCTCTCTACCAGATGCTGGAGCTCAAACTGGCCATGTATGTGGATTTTCCATCTCATATGAAGCCTGGTGTCCTGGTGACCTGTGCAGATGACATAGAGCTCTACAGTATTGCAGAGGATGAACATGTTTGGTTTGATAAACCTGGCTTTACAGCTCTGGCCCACCCCTCCCCACTGTCTATTGGAACCACCCACGGGGTGTTTGTGTTGGATTCATGTGAAAACTCATCTCACTTGGAAATGGAGAACAGATCCTGTCTGCGCTTTCTGCACAAACCAAGCATCAAAAATATGTACGACTGTGGTGCTGTTTGCAAGAGGCAGAGTGGTTGTTTTTCTGAGTTTGTCTACACAGACAGCACCTATTATGTTGACTTTGAAACTGTAAAGACTCTTCTTAATCTGCTGAGAGAGTTGGAGCCCTTGCAGTGTGAGATAGACGCATATGGAGACTTTCTTCAAGCACTGGGCCCCAAAGCCACAATAGAGTACACCAGCAACACTGCTAATGTCACCAAAGAGGAGAGAGGTCTGGTTGAAATCCGCCAAAAGATCTTCCATCATCTACAAGGGACTCCTTTGAACGTCATTCTCCTCAACAACTCCAAGTTTTATCACATTGGAACCACGTCAGAATACCTCTTTCACCTCACTGAGGACGTGGCACTGAGGAGTGAGCTGGGCCTGCTGTCGTCTACCTTCAGCATTCACATGAATGAAAACTCCGGCTGCTGCGTTATGTGCAGCGTCCTCGATCCCAGTTGCACTGTGGGAGCTGGATCAGTGGTGGAGTACTCCAGGCTGGGAGCAGGTGTGTCTGTAGGTAAGGGCTCCATCGTCAGCGGCTGCTGGGTCAGTCCGGGCCTCTCGGTGCCTGACGCAGTCTTCATGCATTCACTGTGTGTGAACCACCAGGACCGAGCCGGGTTTGTAACTGTCGCCTTTGGGATTAATGACAACCTGAAGCACAGTGTGGAAGCCCCTGCTCACATAGACAGGCTGAAGCTTTTTGAGTGCAGCCTGGCAGAGTGTCTGTCCCACTGGGGGATGGAGAACGAAATCCTGAGGTTCTCCAGTGACTCTCCCGGCTGCAGTCTGTGGAACGCTTGTCTGTTTCCCGTTTGCTCTGATCAGCAAAGCTCGTTCTCAATGTCTCTGGAGATGCTGCAGGCCGTCCTAAGTGGCTCCACGTTCATCTTGCCCAAAGACACTAAGATGATGTCTATGCAGGAGAGTCTACAGAGTAAGAAACTGGAGGAGATGTTGAGGTTCAGGATGAGACTACACAAAGACATCACGCAGAGAAGACTGAACAGTTAGAGCTGCTTCGTGTAACTGAGATTATGTGTTAAAAAATGTATGTTGTCAAATGTAAGTGTTTAAGTACAAGATAATATTTTCTGTGCTTTGATTGTTAAAGTTGTTTATGATCCAAGGAGGAGGATCCAATGATATCTGAACTGTGGACAATGACCTTTTTGACAGTATGAAGATCTGATTTATTTTTGAGTTTGACATCTGATTTATTCACGCCTCATAAAACTGATCCATGATTTCTTGAAATTTCGTGAAATTCTGCTTTCTACTTGAAAATAAGATAAATTCCTAAACCCATCTGTCATAATATCTTTTACTTTGTGCCTCAATCACATCACAGTGTTTAAGTTTTTTTAGATAAAGGGATGAGTAATTTCGGTATGTCGGCAGATGACGAGAAGCCAGTTTGAGTCATGGTTGGTATTTAGAGCACCTGGCATGCTGCTCTACATAGACACGTCTATTGTCTTAGACCCGAGGGAGGCAAAAGGCACTTTCCATCTTTCTTAACAGGCCTACATTTTTACATTTTAGTTAGGTGTAACGAATAACATTGTTAATTGCAGTCATCGTTAATCTTGTTAGACTCACTCCTGCTTATGCTGCTATTATAAGACACGAAATAAGAAGTTTAGGAACCACTGAACTTGTTCATTATTAGGCAAGTAAAACAATAGAGAAATGATAAGTGCTTCAAGGCCCGGTCCTTTAACCAGACTCTACCTACATCATACAGAAATTGCTTTGGCAGGTAATCTGGGACAGTGTAGGATAATTATTACTTGCCTTTATACTGTATGTTTATACACACACACACACTCACACACACACACAGTCACACTGATACATGCTCGCTTGCATTTGGAGGGAGATCAGTTGTCGTAGTTGTTCGGCATTCCACTCAAAGGTGTTTATTTTTAGCCCTCAGCCACGATCCCCCCTTTATCTGGACCTGTGCAATTGTGGCACAGTGAGCGATTGTATTACTGCTTTACTCTAGTTCACCAAACTATACAGCACATATTACAAGAGACGAACCTTATCAATGGGAAATTACAAATCAAGACCATCTCAGACGTGTACAGGTAAATGGCTCAGTGTCTTTGTGATGGTGTGAGTGTTTTTAATTTTTCTGAGGGCTGTCAACAAAGTTTGAGCCAAGGAGTGTGGGTTTCACTTTTTTGCTAGCATGATTTTTTTTTATATATATATGTATATGTGGTTTATATAGCAGGTAAAATGTGGATAATTCTGCTTATAGGTTGTAATTCACAGTAGAAATAATATAATTAAATTGTTACTATGTTTGACGTTGTGAAGACGAGTGGAAGAAGAAGGTGGGCGAGTCGTACTCTGTGATCGTCGACAAGCTGGAAGACGACCTGAAGCTGAAAGACAGCGAGCTCGTGGACCTCAAACTTGCTTTCGGGTGACAAAAAACATTTTGTGTGTTTAAAGCTGTAACTCAGTCTGTGTGAGTATTTGTCAGAACTGCATTTAATTTAACAAGTAGGTGCTTTTTTTTTTTTTTTTTTTTATGCCTGCGCTCTTCTTGGTTTGCTCACTGTTCTGTGTCAGAGCGGCTTCAGTTGTCACAAGCAGGTGATGTTGCTTTTTCTGTGGCTCAGCTCCGATGAGGCTTTTCAGAAGGTGAACTTGAGCTACCGAACAGAGAAGGGGCTGTCGCTGCTGCATCTCTGCTGCGTGTGTGGAGGTATGCATGACTACTAGAGTCTATTTATAACACCTCAACAAAATGTGACAGTGGAAGGAAGGATTACTACAGACCGGCTGGCATTATTGCCTGAAGATGACCTTTCTGGTGTTTACCACACAAAAGTAAACGGTAGATTTGAAACATACTGTACATGAAGGTTGAATATAAGAAGTTCAAATGAAATACATTTGAAAGTTACAACAACAGTTTCCCTACGGATCCAACAATCCAGACAAATCCTGACCTTGTTTACTCACTCACAATAAACCAGATCTTCTGTTGAATGAAGGATTTTTTTGGTAAATTGTTACCAGGGAGCAAGGCCCACATCCGCACTCTGATGGTTAAAGGCCTGCGTCCTTCCAGGCTGTCCAGGAATGGCTTCACCGCTCTCCACCTGGCTGCTTACAAGGTGAAGAAATTCAGATTTCAAAAAATATACATTTCCAGGTGCAATCTGTGTCTTTCTCTTGTTTGTGTCATTTGTCATCTGATAAAGAGCTTTCTGTGTTTTACCACATGGTGGAGTGCAAGTACCATCAAAGGCAGTGTGGTTGTTGCTGCATGTCTGAATTGCTTAATTTGTGGTTACCTGTCAGAACAGTCATGGCCGTGATGATGAAGCTGTGTTCATGTTCTGTTTCCAAAACCGCAGGACAACGCTGAGCTGGTGACGGCTCTTCTTCATGGAGGGTCGGACGTACAGCAGGTGGGATACGGTGCCCTCACCGCCCTGCATGTCGCTACACTGGCTGGACATCATGAGGTGAGAGCTGAACCCTGAACCTTTTCTTCTTTCTACTACACCTGACCTTTTTAATGCTCTTGTATATTGATAATCTCCCCACCAGGCAGCAGATATTCTCCTACAACATGGGGCTTATGTGAATGTCCAAGATGCTGTGTTTTTCACCCCACTGCACATTGCTTGCTACAATGGCCATAAGCAGGTAAACTGCTCCAGTTAACCACATCTACACCCTGATAGAAACACACCTCATGGTCCAAAACTGTTCTCCCCTGATTATATACACTTCCCTCTTGTCTCTCTCTGCCAGGTGGCAAAGCTGCTGCTGAAGTTTGGGGCAGATGTGAATGCGAGTGGTGAGGTGGGTGACCGGCCGCTGCACCTGGCTGCAGCCAAGGGTTTCCTCAGCATCATCAAACTGCTAATGGGGGAAGGGAGCAAAGCTAATGGTGAATGCTTTCCCACATTTAGTTAATATTCACCTGAGTTGGTGGCCTGTAAATGAAACATAATAGCTTAATGCAGACTCTTGTAAAACAGCCTTTAGGCTACTTCTACATTCACTTGCTAAACCTGCTGATTTCCCTCTTCAAAAGCCACAGGGAAGCTTATAAAATTCTGTAGTTGGAGATGACTGTGGGGACTTTCTCTGAACTTTTCTCTTCCCCCTTTCCAGTTAATGCTCAGGACAACGAAGATCATGTTCCTCTGCACTTCTGCGCTCGCTTTGGTCACCATGAGATTGTGCGTTTCCTTCTGCAGGGCAACTTTGACGTACAGCCTCACTCTGTCAACATCTACGGCGACACACCTTTACACTTGTAATTGGTTGTTCAGTGTTGGTAGCCTTCTGTAGGTTTTATAGTAGATGACATGGAGCGGAAATGACGTGCTGTGTTGAATGTGGTGTCTCATCAGGGCCTGCTATAATGGCAAATTTGCAGCAGTGAAGGAGATTGTGCAACTTTCTGGTACAGAAAGTCTTTTAAAGGAGAACATATTCAGTGAGACAGTACTTCACAGGTATTTCACTGTCTTTACTTATAGTCTGCAAAACAGAGACAAACATAAGTGTCACCTTAAAACACATGATTCCTGTTGTGGAGGTGTTGATGAGAACATACCCTGTTTAACAGTGCATGCACCTACGGTAAAGACCTGGAGATGGTGAAGTTCTTGCTGAGTCATAATGCTATGAGCATCAACCATCAGGGCAGAGATGGACACACAGGTGACTCATCACATCCTCTATTTTCGTGTGCAGCTAATTTAATTGCAATTCCAGTCGTGACTTTCATTATTACTGTGTGTATCATGTGACACGTTAAGCTCTGCATAGTGCCTGTTTCCACGGCCATATCCGTCTGGTGCAGCTCTTGCTGGACAGCGGCGCAGACATGAACCTGGTGGCCTGCGACCCGAGCAGGTCCAGTGGGGAGAAGGACGAGCAGACCTGCCTGATGTGGGCTTATGAAAAAGGTTTGTTAGGGCGATGATGAGCTTAGCTGTCAGGAAACATCTAACAAAAACTATTATTACCTTTTTATCTTTGTGTTTTGCAGGTCATGATGCCATTGTCACCTTACTGAAACACTACAAACGCCCAGATGACTCCCCCTGCAATGAGTACTCCCAGCCAGGAGGGGGTGAGTCACCCGTCTAAAGAGTAATAATCCTGAATAAAATCACACACGGGTCCCTCCCTTTAATCTGCCTGAATACGTTGGCTCTCTTCCAGATGGGTCCTACGTTTCTGTCCCGTCTCCTCTGGGAAAGATCAAAAGCATGACTAAAGGTAGTGAGATGGAGCGAAGCACAGCTGATTCTTTTTCCCCCACACTTCATATCACTGTCAGCTGACATGAAAACACACACTACCTGTTGCTAAGGCAAGGGTCCTAGCCTGCTGATGATAACACTGGCCTGATATCCTTACCAGCGAAATCGGGGGTGGTGTGAACTACAGATCTGTTTCCATCCAGTGTGATATCTGAGAAACAATTGATCTGAAGTTGATGAAACCCAGGTTAAAAGCCTCTAAACAACAAGGGTTAAACATTACTGTTAAAATATTATAATTGGCGTGAAGTGGACACGATACCAGTAACTGACACTAAGCATCAACTGTTGAGCCACTAGCTTAAAGAGGCTTATAACCATATGTTTTGTCCATACTTTCATACCAATGTTTTATAGTTTTTACCAAATCAAAAATAAAGTGATTATCAAATGTGCACATTCATATCTCATGAAAAGAATCAGAATTACTTAAGCAGAATGAGAGTGCTGAAATTGATCTATTATCACTCTTTTTTAACATGCACCGAGGATATAGTTACACACAACACTCAGTAGATCGCAAGTGACATCCCACTCTAACACAGAAATCAGCTCTCCTTTATATACCGTTATAACACCACCCTTTGATAGAGATACAGGAACAAAACAACACCCGATATCAGCCTGATAGACCCTTATTTCCAGAACACTCTTATCCCAGTTGTTACCCAAAAACTGATGGTCTTGCATATCAATAAACATTTCCTACTAAATGTTTTCCTGTCAAAGTATACTAATAGGCTCAATTGTGAAATCAGTACATGATGAAAATGCACCATAATCATCATTTTCCTCACACACTGAATTAAAAAGAGCAACAAGATGACTTTTCTGTGCGCTCCCAGTTAAGGTTAATGCTGCGTTGTCTTTTCAGAGAAAGCAGAGGTTCTCCTGCTCAGGGCCAGCCTCCCATCTCATTTCCACCTTCAGCTGTCTGAGCTGGAGTTTAATGAAATTATTGGATCAGGTAACTCTGTTCATACCTTCTCCGTTTTCAGTTCAACAAATGTGCCTCCAGGTGCGACAATATCATTGATAATCATATCTGTTTAACACTCAGGCTCCTTTGGACGGGTGTACAGAGGCAAATGCCGAAACAAAATTGTCGCCATCAAACGGTACTAATCCATTTAAAACACAACTCAAGATGCCATTTAACATCCCTTTCCTGTTAGAACCCACTCAGGTCTTCACTCTCCTCTGTAGCTATCGAGCCAACACATACTGCTCTAAGTCAGACGTGGACATGTTCTGCAGAGAGGTCTCCATCCTCTGTCGCCTCAATCACCCGTGTATCATCCATTTTGTGGGGGCGTGTCTGGACGACCCCAGCCAGTTTGCCATCGTCACCCAGTACGTCTCCGGAGGCTCGCTGTTCTCCCTGCTGCACGAGCAGAAGAGGTGAGGAAGCGAGCATAACACAGTGGAACTCACAGTGTGTTATGATGTGCATAAACTACATAAGGGTCATCATCCAGTGCCCACTGACACACACAAGCTAATAAACTCGAGAACTTCCCTGTCATGTAACCTTCTTCTCTTCACATGTATCAGCATCGTGCATTAGAAGTATTAATTCTAACAATTTCACACACATAAAATCACAGAAAGGGCAACAATTTTTAAGACTTTGCAGGATTAAAATAATATCGGAGTCTTTTCGATTAGTGGTCAATTTACAGAAAATTTGATCAAATTAATCAATAAGATTTGGGGAATAATAATGTTGATAATTTTAGTTGTTTATAGAGCAAAAGTGTCAAATATTTATTTTATATTTGAACATCATTGGGTTTTGAACTGTGTTGGTAAGATAAAAGAAAAAAGAAAGAAAACAACTAAAAGAAACAAAAGAACATCTTGGGCTGTGGGAAACTGTGGTGGAAACTTTAAATTTTTTTCTAATATTTTATTGAGTCAATGATTAACTGAAAAAAAATTGAACAATGATGAAAATAATGGCTAGTTTCAGAAGTTTGTAAAAGAGTTGGACGAAATAATAGGGACACGAGTCCAGTAAACCACCACTGCAAATATCAGCCTCAGGACCATAGAACTGGGTCAACAATAATAAACTACTATTAAACTAAACAAAACACAGTTCTGGTAAGCCCTGTGCAGTGAGCACCAGAGTTTATTGACGTTACGCTTAGTTCCTCACACATTTTGATAGTGTCTAAATCCTGATGTCAAGATCAAACAAGAGGTCAAACTACCCCGATGCCCCCCCCCCCAGCCGGGATCATCATTGATCCAGATGAAGTGTTCGGCTAACTGTGTGGCCAGGTGTTGTCTTTATAGACTGTCCTATTGATCTGTGTAAAGTGCTATGTGTGATTGGCAGTGGACATTGATCTGGCTCTAAGTGGCTGCTGCTTTAATGATGTGTCAATGGACAGGCTTATCGACCTGCAGTCCAAGCTCATCATTGCCATCGACGTGGCCAAGGGCATGGAGTACCTGCACAACCTCACCCAGCCTATCATCCACAGGGACCTCAACAGGTGGGTGCCACAGTAATAACATATGTGGTGGGATGCTATTGGCAGTCTGAAATAACTATTGTCATTGCAAATAATACATGTCTTCCTTCCAGTCATAATATTCTGCTTTATGAGGATGGACATGCTGTGGTGGCTGATTTTGGAGGTAAGGCCCAGAGACTTATTGTAGTTGAATTACAGCTGCCTTAACCAACTTTTTTATACATCAGCATTTATACCTGTGTCTTTTGAAAGACGAAATAACTAACATTTGTAAGAGGAAGAATTGTTTTCATTTGTTGATTTAACTGGCAATAAAACTCCCCCTTGCTCAATTTAATCGAGTCAGGGGTTTTGCTGCTGCAGCCTCACTTGGTCTGGTATGACCAGTAGCTTATGGTGGCTAATTGTAGCAAACGTTCAATAGATATTTTTGTGTAACTGACATTACCGAGTCGGTTTACTTACTTATGACTATTCTCTGCTTGTGCTACTGTTAGATTACGTTTTCAGATTTACCTCTGTCCTGCCGCTGTTCAACAAATGTTTATATATCCTCGCTTTAATGCAGCTTTATAGTCATGGGCCATACCATGAAGTTCAATGTAATATAGCATCAACTAGTTTAACATTTCATATTTTTTGGAGCTAATATTGTGATAAACTTTGAAAAATAATTAGTGATATGTAATACCATTGCAATCATCCATCCCTACACTCGGGAAATGTTTGTTCACCCTGGGAGCTGTGTTTCTGTTCGTTTCATAGTTCTTTGTAATTCTGGCAATCAAGAGTGTTTATTCCCTGGCGCTGCTGATAAAAAGTACAACTAAAGGACGTAACTGCCAACAGATGAGCATTTTTTTTTCATCATCATTGTATGTCCTTCCCTTTGTCTGCAGAATCTAGATTTCTACAATCTGTGGACGAGGATAACATGACCAAGCAGCCAGGGGTCAGTGCTGTCTCCTCTTTTTCTCTCTTCTTATTCGATGTCGCACTAAAAAAAAACCCTTTGGAATGAGTTCGCTCTCTCTGGCCAAATACTCTCACACCATCTGCAGCATTAGTGGAACAACAGGGCCTTTTGGAAATAGTGCCTTGTTGTTTTTTGTTTTTTCTTTTGCTGGAGCTCAAACTAGAGCTTCTGTTGGAACCTGTCATCAATTACCCAATTATCCACCAGCTAAAAAAAAAAAAAAAAACTGCCTCCATGCAGATTCTGTCTCAATGTGCTGACTCATCACCATTCAGAGTGCTTCGCCTGCAGTTTGGTGTTAAGTGTGTTGCATCTCTTGGGAGCTGCCTGTTGTGAGGAACTACTTGCCCTTGCTGGGACGCAGCGTTTATGTCAGTAATTGGGTCTCATTTTGTCTGTTTGCATGTATGTGTGTGTGTGTGTGTGTGTGTGTGTGTGTGTGTGATGGCCTGATTATGTTGAACTTAAATCTCACAGTTGATATTCTGTTGTTATTATGTTATTCTTTTTATTCACAAAAATTCTGTCCATGGCAATACTGCCTTTACTCTATGCATATACATATATAGTATATATATATATATGTGCCTGTATGTGTGTGTTTGTGCAGAACCTGCGCTGGATGGCTCCCGAGGTGTTCACCCAGTGTACTCGCTACTCAGTGAAGGCGGACATGTTCAGCTACGCCCTCTGTCTGTGGGAGCTGCTTACCGGAGAAATTCCCTTCGCTCACTTAAAACCTGGTAATTTTTCTCCAGTCACAGGCTTTAATGGTGTCACTAAGCGTGCAGACCAGAGGACAAACTGAGGGGGATACAAATTTCATGGCAATCCATCCAATCGTTGTTCAGGCATTAAGCTCAAAACCACAATTGTAATCCTCATGGTGGCATGCAAGAGGAAAAGTCAGAATCACCAGAGTCAGCATAAAACATCCCTCTGTGAACCATGGATGTCTGAACAAAAATTCATGGCAGTAAATGTTATGGTTGATGAGATATTGGAGTCTGGACCAAAGAGGCTGACTGACCGACCAACAGACTGACAATAACTAAACTAGAGCTAACGTGGCTACAAATATGACAAAATATATTGAAAATCCATACAAAACAACACAAGGAAAATAATCTAACGTCAAACGGAGAACAAAAAGGCTGTTAGACATTAGATCATTTTAAAACTAAATTTAAAATGTTCTGCTACCCTCAGCCGCTGCAGCAGCAGACATGGCGTACCATCACATCCGGCCTCCTATTGGCTACTCCATCCCCAAACCCATCTCTGCTCTTCTGATGAGAGGCTGGAACGCATGCCCAGAGGTAAACCACCTGATTTCACCTCTTGAACCTTGATTCTCAGCAACAGTCAGCACAATGCCAACTTGTTCTTGATTAATATATACACTGCACTTTATACAGGTTTACATAATGTAGTTTACATCCACATTGTGCTCTACAATCCTCTCTATGCAAGTATTGTGTCTTAGTTTTAAACTGTAAAACAATCTTTCCACTAATATCTTTCTACGTCATTAGCTATCGACATACTGAAGCTCTGAGAGGCAAATGATGCCGCGTCAGCTGCTGCGGCTGCAAACGTGCAGCACTAACGAATGGGACTGCCGTATCCCCATGTGATACATTAACTCATGCCTGTTCATATTTAGGAGCACATGTGACCTATTTATGATGCTGCCCCCTCAGCGCTGTTATGTTCATAATTAGCCAGGTCTCATTAAGACACATTATTACACAGCCTAGCATGTTGGCACATTTCTCCCTCTGTGGTCCATCTCCTTCCTGTTTGCCAGTTAAGGTTGACAACCAGTTGCGTGTTGGTGGACATGTCTCCCTTGGCGATGGCCTCGTCCCAGTGTCACCTCCTCAAGACACTTTTTTTTTTGTAAACAAGAGTGCAATTGTAATAGGCCGTCACAAGGTTGCGTGTGCACACAATTCCCATGATGCTTCACCTGTACAGTACACCAGCTACCATGGGGTTTGGAAGTGGGACATGCTGCACTGTGTTTACAGGATTTGCACAGAATGTATCAGTTAAAATCTGAGACACTTTGACTGAACTTCCAATATACATGATTATATAAACGTTCAAGACCAAAACAATGCTGTGAAGTGTTTTTTCTACAGAGCAGTAATTACTTGATTACTGTCAAACAAGGAAAGTGCAAGTGCAAAAGCACTTACTAAAATCAAAATGAGAGGACTTTTGCATTATTTTGTTTCCATTTTTACTGTTATTAATATTTTCCTGATTTTTGTTTTGTCTTGGTCTCATTTATTCAAAACAGAATGCAGGCCGACCTTGACAACTGTCTGAGGATGTCATGTATAATTGAACAGGTCTGGCGTGGCAGTGTTTGTTCTTTTCCAGCGAGGCAAGAGATCTAAGGACTGCTTTTGAAGCAGAGTTCACCTTTGCTTCATGTGTGGGCGGACTGAAATCAGCAGAATGCACAAGCCAATGTTAGAGTGTGTCTGTCTGTTTTGGGTTGTACCTGCTCCATTTGATTGTTCAACCTTGAAACAGAAAACAATAATAACAGTAATGGTTTGATTTTTCTGCCTCAGGATAGGCCTGAGTTCTCTGAAGTGGTTTCCAACCTCGAAGAATGCTTGTGCAATGTTGAGGTATATAATATCACACACGTTTGTAAATGTCAGCTCCTGTTTGACATGCTGTAGCAATTTAATTCTCTCAGTCATGACTATATTTCTGCGTCTGTGTGTGTTGTGCCTTATACGTGTGGTTCTGTCACAGCTGATGTCTCCAGCTTCCAGCAACAGTAGCGGCTCCCTGTCACCCTCCTCCTCCTCTGACTGTCTGCTCGGGCGAGGAGGACCCGGCCGGAGCCACGTGGCTGCCCTTCGTTCTCGTTTTGAGCTTGAGTACGCTCTCAACACTCGTGCCTACGCCTGCTGGACACAAAGGTAAGAGAATTGAAGCATGTCCTCAGACAGATGAAGGTCAAGAGGGTGAGAATAATTTACTGCACAATGGCAACGTTCACATGCACCCAGTTAAAATAACCAGCTATTGGTCGTAGCAAAGTCTGGGTACGGTTTTAATCAGTTTAAGTTGTTTGCATGAAGCTATGATAACCTGCTGTTGAACAAAGCATACTTTCTCTCGCTTGATTCTCAGTGAGCTGAGTTGCGTCTTTTAGATTTAAATCTAAACCACTTGAGGATTGAATCAGACCTTTACTGAATCAAACAGTAAACATTAAGACGCTAAAATATTTGCATATACAAATTCCCAAACTTTATTAACTGTTAAAGCTTGACATTGTAGATCCATGATATTGCATCTGATGACCTATCTTCTGGCCTTACATTTATCCATACATCCATCCATCCATTAGCTATACTGCTTATCCTTTGAGGGCTGCAGGGGGGCAGGAGGCAGGGTAGCCAGAGAACCTAGAGCACCTCCTAACTGAGGGCCAAACTGGGGTTTGAACTCAAAACCTTCTTGCCATGAGGCAACAGTCCTAGCCGCTGCACCAAAACTTTGTTGGATAATTTTGGAGAAAACTGACCCAGATCAAATGTCGTTTCGTTGTTTGTTGGTTTGAACACCAGAAGGGAAGCTTTACCAGCTCTTCAGCCTTTTTTGAATGATATTTTGCTCAAACTAATGTGACCAAAGCCCCGTCAGATAATTTTTCAAATGGTGAGTCAACAATGAGAATCAGAGTTTCTTTCAGATTAGCAGCATCTAAAATATTGTACTTCACTTACACTCAATCAAGTAATCAGCTTAATTTGGAAATGCTGAAACCAACTGCAGCAATGACGCACGTAACAAATTTTCATTAGTACAATTCAAGTCATAAATAATGGAAGAAATGCACTTGCTACACTGCTTGTCAGAGCAAACAACATGACCAACATAAATATACCAACAGCAACAGCAGCAATAAGGACGTTTTAGTTTGTCATTACATAAAATCATAATTGAAAGTGGTTAAGTGTTTAGATGACATAGTAACCCAATTGACACTGAAATACAATGACATCTCAAACATCTCCCCTGATTATTATTAATGTGCACATTCATCAGCCAAAAACTGTGGCACTGAGTTAAAGGTCCATTAACATTTACATAAAAAGTGTAAAGATGATGAGATAATGCGGTGTGTGAATAAAGTTGGACAATCTCATCTGGGAACTGCAGTTGCTCCAGTACTACAATGCAACAATATAGTATGTGGCAATTCTTTTTAGCAAATAAAAACATGACTTCATTCAACTACTGAATCCTCCTTCCAAGATGGTTTGTTTTCAGAGTTTCGAATGGTTGAAATGTTTTGTTTTGTGAACACAGATGTTCAAATTTATATGGTTAATTATCTGTTACCATGTGGATAATCCTAAATCTGTTTTTGTTGTTAACCTTGGTAAATGTAGTTAAATGTTTTTGGGTTAAGGCTCTGCTAACAGGAATTCGACAAACATCATGTCTGGGCTTGTAGACACCACTTGCTCTGAACAATTGTTTGCCAGCAACATGTAGACCAGTTAAAATACTTACTGCAACAGTGAGGAGAGGAGTTGCTCAGATACCCAACAGGAAACAAAGGAAAGCAAATGCAATAAAACATGCATGGTATTCTGACCGAGGAGGAAGGCCTATATTAGGCGCATGGCTTTGAGCCTCAGTAGTGTGTGTGTGTATGTGTGTGTGTATGTGTGTGTGCGCCTGGTAACAGTCACTATGGTCCCAGTAACAGGAGGTGGGGTTGCTGTGATGTGGCGATGGCTTCTCAGTAATTTCCAGGCGCTCTATCAAAGGTTAGACAAGACTAATTCAGCTCCTACACGTCTTAAATGTGTTATACTAAAATTTTCCAATATCACCAAATAACTATAATTGATCATCAGTAAAAATTAATTGTTTTCTTTTCATGACGTGGTGTGCAGTTTTTGTTTGTTGTCGCCCCATCAAACCTGTCACCCATTTTGTTTACAGCAAGTGAGAGCAGCCTGGTTTTAGGCTGGACCTTCGATACTGAATTCGCTTGTGTCTAGTCCCTTTCCATGTAAACGAAGAAGTATATATTTCTGCATTAGTGTTGTTTTGGTGTGGAGTAATGAGTTAGGGTTGATTTTATTTTATTTTCATTTTCAGTGAGCAACGGCGAGCATCTGGAGGCCTTTCACTGGAGGAACTAAGAAGGAACATGCAGTTCTCTCCCATTGATCGAAATGGTTTGTGTGCAGAGTACATGTACTGTGCTGTATACTGATGTAATTGTTTTTTGGAAGTGACAGTTTAGCAGTTTAACACTCAGGTCGGGATTAATTCACATTCAAATTAAGGTAGTTCTCTGAGATTATATTCTGTAGCAAATTAAGACTCCAAATTATCTTTTGAGGACTTAATACTTATGAAGTGTTTATTTTGTCCATTATCTTTACCCAGTACTGTTGTTTATTTCATCCTCTCATAATTCTTTTTGTTTTTTATCTAATTGTTGATTTTGTACTTTTTATTATAGTTATTCATTTTTAAACCTTCTTGCAAAACAGACTGTGTGTTCTGCTCGTAGGTAATACATAGTAATTTAAAGGATAAGGCTGATCCTATTCTGTATTATTCCTATTGTCAACAAACCCCACAGTCAACAGCCCCCAGCTCATACCTCTACAGACATAATATACCGTTTCATTTGTAAAAAAAAAAGTCAGTAAATTCCTGAAGCAGCTGGGCACTGAGTACTTTGCGGCAAACGCTACCTAAGCAGGGGGAAATAGTGTGTTTGTTGGGAACTATTTTCAGCAGTGGACTAATACACATTTGGTGCTCTGGTGAGTATATATGGCAGTAGAACAGTGGATGTTTCAACACGTCAACAAACTACAGTGACCATATTCATAGTGATGGAAGGAGCATGTCACCAAACGCACCAATGTTGCTCTGTGATGCCTTTTTAATAGTGTCTGGACGACAACGGAGATCTATGGCACAGAGGAATGAGAGATATCAGTCTTTGAGCACACTGACAACACTTGTTAATCTGTGACATTAACAGTTAGTTTGGGTTTTTTCATAGGAATTGTTGACAGTAAGAAATATACAGAAAATCATCAGCTTTATCTTTTAATTGTAAATAGTAAAAATGTTGTTATTGTCAACATTGTTATTCACAAATGAAACACACCACAAATGAGAGAGTCACTGTTGCTGCCGACTTGTCTGTTTTTCAGGGTACGTGTCTGATCCCATGAGCACCATGAGATTCTGCTCTTCCCTCAGCAGCAGCGGCAGCTTCGAGGACAGTAACTAACCCTGCTAAAAACACCCAGCGCTCATCATGACCGTATTAATTCAGACATTCATCAATATTTCTGAGTATTTATTTTAAGTAAAACTGTATAAACTGATGGCAGGAATAGAAGATATTGCTGACTAATTGCTAACTAAACTATTTGGTTATAACATATTGTATGTTTTACATTACCAGTACCCAGTACCTCCAGTACTGTGTTATTTACAGTTACATTTTTTTTTAAATATTTAGTTGAGGCTTTTCGTTTTTGTAAATAATTTTGTTTTTGTGTACAAGTTTTGCAAAAATCTGAAATACAATCTTTGAAAACCACTGAATATGTGCAATGATCACAACTTTGCATGTGCACACAATTTTATTTTTAAACGGAAAAATAGCAGGTCACTCTCACTCTCATTTCTCATTTTTATTTTCTGAATGACCGAATCACACAAGCGATCAGTCACTGACAGATATGAAATGAAAAGATGAAGCCTCACAAACACACACTAGCCATAAAAATCAGGTGATAAGGTGATGCAAATAAATAAACTCTAAGTATAATTTTTTAAAAAGAGGTAGTATTAGCAGCAATAATGACACAAATCGGTGCCTAGATTTGACATTTCACAATATTATCAGCTTTAATAAGTAATTATCAGAGTAATGATGAGGATTGAATTAACCATGTTAACTTAGCTAAGTATTCCTGTTGTTCTGATGCATTTTCGTCTAGATAGTGTCATCTAAACAAATAGTTATGTTAAAGCACTGACTGTCATTAACACAGAGTGATGACAGATCTCTGATCAGAGCTGAAGTCTATAAAATCATGCTTGTGGCAGTGAGTGGAAATATAAAGTGTACTGGGGGCTAACTAAACTGTGGGAGTCCAACAACTATGAATTATTCAGTCATTTGTGAGCGTGAGTGGAGGAGTATCTGTTTACAGGTAATAGGCGATCGCAGCTGTACTTGATACCACACAAAACCTATGCCTCTTTGTTACCAACAATAGGAAGAGATGGTCTATTGTAAACATTTTATGCAGCAGTCAAAACTCAGTGTGCAGCTTCTTCTTTTTGGTGATCAAAGGATGAAGACTATTTACGAAGTCACTGTAATGTAAACACCGAGACCACGAGACACTTGAGGGCTTCTGTCAAAACTAAAATCATCTTGAATTTGTTGCTTCATTAACTGACAGATAAAACCTAATTTCTTAATCACTACAAATATTCAGTGCCATCTGATTGTACAAAAGCTTGCTAAAGTGCTTTCTCTTGTATCTCTGCAAGTTTTTAAGTTTTTAAAAATAATTTATCAACTTTAATATTTGAATTGCTTCCAGATATGTCTCATTTTAAAGTGTCGCTGTTACCTTAGTGCCAGTGTCTGAGATGTGAAGCTCTAATGTCCACTCTCTGTCCGTGCAGCAGTCAGCGAAGGATATGAACTGCGACCAAACAATGTCTCATCCACTGAGAAAGTGCTCAGTCTGTCTTTACTGAGAGTGTGTTTGATGTCCTGGATCAGCTGCACGTCTCTTCTCTCTCCGTTGATGCTCCCATCAGTCGGTTTGGGTTGGATCTCTCCGTTGTGGGACTCCTCTTGGCTTCCATCTTCAGACTTGGATGTTGTAAAATCAGTTATTTCTGTAACTTCGTGACTTTGTTCTTCTGTTTTTCCCTGCGTTTCCTCTATGTCTTTCAGTCCATCTGGACTCGCTGAATGCTCGCAATGCTCTTCTGTTTTGGATGAAGGTAAGAGACCTTTAATCTCTTCAGTTTCTGTTTGTTTTTCATTCAAGTCTGGACCATTATCCATAGTTCCCTCTCCACTTTGGTTCTCTATGACACTCTCAGGTTTGCCACTGGCAACTGAATGATGAGTACCTGCAATGCTTTCCACTTCAGTTTTGGAAATCTCATTTTGCGTCAGAGTTGGTTCATCTTGAACTTTGTCTTCCTCTAGAGATCCCCTGCTTCCTTTTCTTTGCCCGTTTGTAGACTCTTCTTCATTGTCTTCAGTCTCTGTTTTTGGTATTAACTCCTGCACCTCAGTCTCCTCCTTGTCCTGGAGTGTATGTCTGGCAGGCTCGTTCTCATGACGTTCACCATCTTCAGTTTGTTCGCTCTCGAGTTCTGACTCTACAGCTCCCACTTTGTTTTTTTCCGTTGTCTCATTTCCATCTTTATGCATTTGCTCTTCTTCTTCATTTTCAGACATCTTCACCATCTTAAGTGGACTCTCCGATCTCGGCAGCTCTGTTGATTTTGTGGCTTCTTCACTTGAGATGGACACTTGAGTCTGTGAAGCCTCTTCCTTCAAGTCTTCTAAAGGTTCAACAAATGTCTGGAAAAACTTTGAAGTTTGATGCATGGTCACCCAGTTTGTGACTAGATCCGTGCTGTCCTCTGCTGCAAGGGCCTCTGGAGTTTCTTTACCTGTTGCGACGCCCTCTTCTGCGTTATCAGCCTCATTGTTTTGTGCTTGAGGTTTGAGCAGCACACTCGCTCCTTCCTCCGAGGCCTTGCTCGCCTCCTCTGTATCCTCTGCTCCATTTTCTCCTTCGGCAGCAGAGAGGTTGACGGCGGTGGCGGCGGCAGCATTTTCATCAGAGTGTGGGTGTTTGTCAGACACTGCAGGGGACTCATCTAGTAAGTTTGTACCACCTAAATCTAAAACGATGGGTGTTGAAGATTGTGCCTGTGCGGCAGAAGAAGCAACTATCACCTCATGGACATTATTATCGTTATTTCTGGTTGAGTCTGAATCTCTGTTTTCATTATCCAGGTCAGATTTGTTGCCATTTTCATCTTTAGTTTCCTCACGGTCGTCTCTGTCTTCATTCAGGCCATCTACTGTAGATTGCTCTTTTATCTCTGTCCCAACTGTTTCTTGCTCTGAATCTTTTTGAGCAGATTCATCTTGTTTTTCAACAATTTGATCCCCCTCTGTAGCTTCACTTTCTACCACATCTGTGTCAGGACCCTGATCCACCTTGTCGTCTCCAGACTCCGCAGTTACTTCTTTTACCTCTGCACTTTCATCTTCAGCCGGTTCCTCCTCTGTTTTTCCTTCGTCTTCAACATGCTCTGCTGCTTTCACATCGTTATTGTCCTCAGTTGAAGCCTCTGTCGTATCGTCATGAGTTTTGCTCTCTGCTCTGGTAGAAATCTCCCCATTTTCTGCATCAATTTCTCCATTTTCAATGTCGGTACCTGCTTCCTCAGTTTCTTCCTCAACGTCTTCACACTCCATCACATTGTTTAGCATCTCCTCGTTTGCTTTAGTCTCACCCGCTGCTTCATTGTCGCCAACGACCTCTGACTCAACAGTATTTTCATTAGATGTTTTCACATCATCTGCATTTCTCTCGGGTTCCTCAGTCATCACAGATATTTCCTCTCCGGTCTTACAAATTATGATTTCTTCCTCTTCAGATTCTTTGACATTTTTATTCTTTTCAGATTCACTTTGCGGAGCTTTGTTCTCATTGTCATCTTCCTCTTCATTTTCTGCTTTGTCAACCTTTTCTTCATCGGCATCTGTCTTTGTCTCCTTTATTTCTTCTCCTTCATTAGTTTTATCAGTTATGGCTCCCTTAGCTTCAGATTCTTCCTCGTCATTTTTATTCTCCACACATTCGCTCTCCTCATCTTTTTCTTTCTTTTCTGATTCATCAGCTCTCTCTTCATTTGCAACTTTATCTTGCCCGTCAAGGGTTTTCTCCGCTGGTTCTTCATTTGTCTCTCCTGCAGTGTTTGAGTTAGTTTTAGTATCCTCTACAATGATTTCCTCATTTTCTATCCTTTCTTCTGTCTTACTTTCATCGTTCCCTTCTTCTTCTGTTTTATCATTTTCATCAGTTGTTGTTTCATCTGAGTTTGTTTGCTTTTCTTCCTCCTTACTGTCCTCCTCAATTTTCTCCTTCTCTACCTCATCATCTATTTCCACAGATTTTCCTGTCTGCTCTTCTCCCAACCTTTCTTGTTGACTGCCATCCTTACTTGCCTCTGCTGCTGACACTTCCTCTGCTTCCTCCTCTTTAATATCATCTTTACTGCCCTCATCTTTTGCATTGTCCTCACTTATGTCTGCTGTTTTTTCCACTGTGGTATCTCCGCTCCCCTCCAATGAGCTGCTTGAGTTCTCTGCTGTGACTTCTGTTTCTGATGCTTCAGTTCTGTCCTCGCTGTCTGCCTGCTGCTTCTCCTCTGTGTCGGTTACAGGTGCCTCTTCACAGCTGAGGGCCTCTCGCTCCTCTGAGGGCTCTGCTTTCATCTCCATTGTCTCGCTCGCTGTCATCGCCTCCTCCACTTCTGCATTATCTGACGCTGCTGTCTCATCAGTTGTTTTATTCGGCTCTGATACTGATGATTCATCCTCCTCACTGCTTTTTGCCCCTTGCCCCGTCTCATCGGGCTTCACCTCCTCTACTTCGGCAGTTTTCTCCTCATTTTCCTCATCTTTTTGTGCTGTGTCTGCATCATTGGATTCAGCTGCTGCGTCTTCCTCAGGCTCTGACGTTTTGTTTTCTTCTGTCATGTTCTCTTCAGACACAGGATGTAGATCTGCACCTGTGTCCTCTAACTTCTCCTTTTCTGCTGCTGCTTCCTCTGATGCAGGGTTTTCATCATCTTCATCTATTTTGACCATCTCAGTTTTAGTACTATCACTGTTCTCATGAGGCTGTTTTTCCGTTTCATCCTCCTGTTCTTTTGGCTCAGATGTCTCTTCGAGATCCTGAACCCCTTCAACTGGACCAACACCAGCACTTTCCTCGTGTTTCGTCTCTTCTCTGAGGGTCTGTTGCTGCTCTGTAAATGTCACTGGTTTCTCTGGAGCTACATTTGTACAAAAAACAATTAAGAGCTTTTTGAGGAAAATGTATTTTCTTCAAGAGTTGTCTTGTGTAGTTTGCAAAATCATTTGAATGAAATTGTGAAATCTCCTACCACTGTTGTTCTGTTCATGGCCTTTATCTGTGGCCTCCTCCTCCTCCTCCTCCTCCTCCTCCTCAGTACTGGTGTCGCTCAGTTCGGGCTCAGAGCTGCAGTGGGACTCCTTCAGTATGGCTTCTGCCAGCTTCTCCTGCACAGATTTAGCTTGGGATAGGAAAAAAAGACATGCATGATATGAGTTCACATTTCTGTAGCAACAGGATAACAAATGATGACCAAATGTTAAAATGAATAAGGCAGTGTTTTGTATAATGTCAAAGCAATGAGAGAATTGAGCCAATGAAGAGACATATAGCCATGAACAAAAAAACATGTCTTTAATCTTTTCAGGTGCAAACATAAGGGAGAAAAACAACATGCAAAATGATAATTAAAATTCAAAGAAGGAAAAATAAAACTTTTCAGTAAAAATTCAGTACACAACTTAAACAAAAATGGAAACACAATGCAAATATAAACTCTAGATGATGAAAAAACTAAAAGAAAGTAGGTCACTTAACTTTGGCACTCAAGTGTTTTGTGCAAACTGATCCCATGAGTTTGAATAGAAGTCCACCAAAAATCTCTTTCATTAATGGTACACTTAGAAATATGTGTAAGTTAAATATTTATGGGCAATAAGAAAAGGTAGGAAGCAAGCTGCTTGTATTTGTGTGGGTTGTTTCTAAACATGATTATTCCGTAGCTCTTCACAATTTCATATGTTGAGCTTTTTGAAATGCTGGGATTGTACACTATGCAAATACATGTATTTTTACATCAGTTGCGGCTTCCTCTTTCTATTCTGATTGCAATTTCACCCCCTGAGGGCTTTTCATTTTTTTCTGAGTTATATTTTGAATTGTTTATTTATTTCACAACACTTTTTTTTGAACCCAGAATATATAGTGCAACAGTAAACTGTGTAAAAAAAGAAAACAAGGCTTTTATTGTGAAATACAATCAAAATATAGTTATATGTGAGAATGTCTTATTAATATCCAAACATCTTGAAACTCATTTTGAATGAAATTGATTTTGACTATTAAAAAATGGATCGGACAAAAACACACCACAGACACGTCACAACATCACACAGAAAAAAAAAAATACGACAGACAACTGTAATTTTTCCACTATTAAAATGTAAGAACATCATAATACTACAATTAAAATATCACAAACTAACAATACTGTAGTAGTGTCACAGTAATTATTTAATTGCTGTCAGGGCTGTGTTATTGTGCAAACCTGTCTCGACCTAAGCCCTGGTTGTGATAATAGTGGAAAAATCTCCATTCAAGATGGACCGATCCATTCCTCACTCAGGTGAAAGCTCCACAGCTGTATCTGTTGGTTTATACTCACCCCTCTTCTGTTCCTGTCCCTCCTCCTGTTTGCCCTCATCTACTGTTTTCTCAGCCTCTTTGTCTCCCGCGGTGTCATGACTCTGTTTATTCTCTGACCCTGAGGGGACGCTGGAGTCAGAGATGTCAATCTCCGTGCTGTCCCCTGCACTGTCCTGTAGAGCCGTGTCTTTAGCCGCAGCGGACTCAGCCTCAGTGGCAGCTGCTGCTTCTTCTGGGTTTGGTTCATCTTTTTCTTCTGGTGGAGCAACCGTTTCTTCTTGATCAACCTCTTCAGGTTGCTCTGCTTTCTCATCCTCTCTTGATTCTTTTGTAGCTTCAGCATCACTCGCCTCCCGGTCGCTGCCTGAACAGCTGGAGCCCGACCGGGACTTTATGTCTTCTGTGCAAGAAAGAGAAAGCATTTTAAATTCTTTAACAGAACCATTCTTTAATCATTCTACACACTTCCAATATAAATGAATATGAGTTGTAATTCCTCTCTAACTAGGGAAATAAACTGTTGTAAAGATGGTTTGTTGGTCTACAAAAAATATACAGGAAGTTTTTTATTTTACATTAAGAAATTATATTAACATTTTCAACCTTTTTCCTGGGTTTCAGACTTGATTGGTCAGCAGAAATTAGTGTTTGAATGCCTTCGAGTATATACCAAATAATTCTGTTTTGCTGCATTAAAAGCAGGTTTCAAATAAGTAACACATGCGTGGTGTAATGCCTCCTTAGTCTCAATTATTCTCCTCTCAGGTATTACTTGAAACATGTGTTCTAACAAGTAAGATCACCCACCATCCTTCTCATCGTCTTCAGTCTCAGAGGCATCTCTCTCTTTAACCACCATCTCAGTTTCACTGGTTGGAGATGGGGATTTCTTTTCTTTTGGCTCCCCTGCAGGGCCTTCATCATCTGCTTCAAAGTCTTCTTCATAATCTGAGGGTGAGGACACAGAACATTTATTGAGATACTTTAGATACTTTATTGGTGCAGTCATGTTTTATGTACTCAGAGGTTTCAGTCATTATACCATCTCTGACTTTGTCCTCCTCAGCTGCTCTTTCTTCTTTGACTTGAGTCTCCATGTCCTGTCGCTGACTTCTTTCATAGTCTGAATGGGAGGCAGCATCCTTTCCAGTCCTTTCTGTTTCCATCTCTTGAGCATTCTTTGAGCTGGTTACTGACTCCTCTCTTCCTCCCTCCTCTTTGACTCTCTTTGGTGGAGGTGTGGGCTTTTTGTCCAATCCCATTGCTATGATGCACCTGAAAAATGTTCATAAAGTATTAAAGAGCTCAGTTTTAAAGAATAACTTGTCAGTTTGGGAAAATACACTTATTCGCTGTCTTGCTGAGTCAGGTGACAGGATAGATAACCTCTCTCATATCCATCCATTAAACCTGCAATAACTGATTATTTTGGCAGCAGAAACAAAACTGTCAACACAACACTGACATACAATCATCAAGTTAATGTGGTGAAGTTGTGAGCAAACAGAGACAGAGCAACATCAGTGTTCATTTGGAGCTGTGTTTGTGGCCATCAGATAAATGCAAGTCTGATATTCACTCTCTTTTACCTCAGTTTTGGTCTCCACCAACTAAAGTTGCAGGCCAGAAAACCTAGACAATGAGCTGAAAGGAGCTAAAACTGCTGAGTCTGTTTCATCTACTACAACTGACCCCCTTTTCCATGCAAGTAGTCATTATTTTAATATTGTTAATATTAAATATTAATTATAGCCTCTTGAAGCTGGAGCCAGGAGACACATTCAACGGACAGATAAGAGAGTGGGATCGATCTTCTCATCTAATTCTTGGCAACAAAGATATGTCAAATTAAACTAAAAACACATAAAATTCTTCCTCTTGTACTTTTAGTATCTCAGTTGTTTTATAATAGATTTCTTGTGTTAGAGACACACTTTACAGGGAGACCTTACTTGTAGCAGGGTGAGGCCCCCTCTACACTGGAGAAGCCAAAGTGTCCGTGCCTGCCGCCAAGTCTGGAGCCTTTCCTGTGTTTGAACTCACAGCAGGAGCTCAGCCGCTCCACCTGCAGCCCGTTCAGGAAGAAGGTCAAACTGAAGGGGAAGCCTCTGTGTCGCCTTGAAATGAACTGGAAAGACTCTGAGGGAAAGACCGAGTGTGTAGATGAAAGCAATTTATTTAAATCTGTGAGTTTGCCGTTGCAGAACCCTGTGATGTACCTCTGCATTTCCCTACCTATGGTTTATCTAAATGTGCACACACACTCCTATCTAAGAAACACAATCACAGATGGTGACACACTGACCTCCCTCGCAGAGCTTGCCTTTGTACACACACAGGTTCTCTCCTCCACAGTGCTGCTGAAACACTTTGACCTCGTCCCTCATGTCACTCAGGTCGTGGGAGAGATGAACCGTTTTGCCAAAATACACCATGTTCACACACACTCTGCTCTGGTGCACAGAGCTCCTCAGCATGACGGGGTCCTGGATGGAAAAAAATGCATGTTGGGGTCAATGACTGTGTATCAATTAGTCAATTAGTTTAATTTCCTAATCCCAAATTTGACATGACTGGGTGAAATTTACTGTCTACATTTATAGTGATAAATGTCATGAAAACTATTCTTATAATATATCAATGCATTATATGTTCTTTTTCATGTTGTCTCACTACTGACATTTTGTCCTGATTATTCATAATATGACCAGTTACAATAGAGTAATTGTGTAAATAATTGGCATAGTAAACTTAGGCCAGTACGCGATGCATAATGTTGTTAAACTGATACTTAATATTGATTCATTTAAGTTTATTTGATTTTGTTTATTGTCCAGCTTTGGTGTAACCTCTGGGTTAAATGTGCATATGTAGTGCATTTAATAAGGATCTGTTGCTACAGATGAAGTAATAGAAAATGCTTGAAATCTTCTATGTGGCTCTGTATTTGCGATTTGGCAACACATTTAGACACATACAAAGACATACAACATAATCTCCTCCTACTAGGTGCAAATCAATGCATCTTATGGAAATCTGAATTGTCTTTCCTAATTCATCTAAAGAGGCTGCAGCTTGTTGTGCAAAGTTTTGCTGCCAGGGAAAAAATAAAGAGAGATAAAGACCTCAGTGATGTCAGCTCCACTGGAAGCAGTGGTAGGACGCAGTCTGCGGCCTCTGAGTGTGCTGCTGGGAGTGACCTTTACCCCCCTCTCTTTCCTCTTTGTGGCTGGAGGCACTGGGGTGACAAAATTGTTGATCACCGGGAGGCAGTAGGGCGAGATGCCATGGGAGGCCTCCACTGTGGTCAAACGTCTCCGGGACTCCTTGTCCATCTGAGAGGGAAGTTAATTAAGTCACATTTATGAAAAGCCTTCAGCGTGTGTGTTGCTGTGGCAGCTCAATAATTCAACCCATAATAATTATTATTATTGTTATATTATTATTATTAGAATTACAATAATAATTCAATAATGTCTGTATGTGTGGGCAGTTACTTTTATTGCAGACAAGAGCTTGTTGGAGAGGTATTTGTCCACTGAGAGCTGAAGGGCAGCTACTCAAAACTGTGGATTTGTGATGTAGAAAAATGGAAATATGAACTTTTATGCTTTTAGTATTGAACAAAATAAATTTCAGAGCATGAAGCCATACTGTGCAATACAGAGTACAATACTATCAAGAATTTTTAATTAAGTTTCTACATCTCTAGAAGGTAGGTTCCAAACAATATTACCAAAAGTAGATTTTAAGATTTTAGAAAGAAGAAAGTATTGGTCTCAAAATAGATATGATTTTATCTGAATAGAAAAACATAAAACTGTCCCTCACTCCTTCTATACAAGCAGGTGGGCACATGTATTAATGTCTTATGCGTCACGGTCTCACAGTGCAGTTGAACAGCTGGTCGTTCTCATTGGAGGACTCAAGGTGTCTGTAAGGGGAGCTGCGTCTGAGTGAAGCTGTGGTGCTGTTACTGTGGATCGGCTTCAGACGCACCGGCCTCTGCATCTTCCCTGGAGCCGTGTTGGGTCGAGACGATCCAGGCTACAGCACACACAAAACACATGACACTGTATATGTATCACCATGGAGACCTCTATGTCACCATTTTCCGTGGTATCTTTTGTGGTTCACGGCTGCCTTATGCACGCCCATATATGCATGTTATAATTAATTAATGTTACACTCAGTATGTTGTGGTGTTTAAATTGAATTAATTCTGCTCTGTTTTTTTTTTTCTTACAGTGTTCCAGTTGGGGATCATTAAAGTGTCAACCTACCTTTATTCATAAAGGTAGACTTATTTAATAAATTGATGATAAATGTCATCAATAAATTTGTGCAAAATGCACAGTAAATGCAGTAATCTTCCCAGAAGCGCCCTGACATTTTTCCAAACATATTACTGCTGCTGTATTTTAAACAAGGCTCAACCTGCTGAGGTGAGATGCTTTCAGACTTAAGAAGAGAGAGATTTCACTGGGTAAACACAGAGATCAATGCCAGGATTACTGGCTCTATTTATTCTGGCATCAAGGTCTGTGACTTTTTATGTTTGAAAGATAACCTGAATACAATCCTTCTACTTCACTTAAACACTCTTGTCTGCACACAGAGAAAATGAGCTAATTCCAGAAGAGACAGCTCTTCACTTGTTAAGTGTCTGTGTAAACATGGCAACTGTCAGTGTGCACAGATAATGATTTACATTACAGACAGACATTCATCACCTGAAAGAATGTCTTGGACTGAGACACCACTTGATTGTGACTGAGTTTTTGAGTGATTAAAACAGATCAGAAACAGCTAGTCTGGCTCTGGCCAAAAGAAAGCAGTTCCCCAGCAACTAGCATAAACTCCAGAAAGTCAGTGTCCAGCACATAACCTTTTCTAAAAACTAGAGATTATCATTTTCACTCTTTGGTTTTGGTATTGATTAAATAAAATGTACCATTTTAATTTGTGATGTTTAGAGGTGCTGCTAGGCAGATTTTGTTACCTTTGGACAGAGCCAGGTTAGCTGTTTCACCCTGTTTCCAGTCTCTAGCTAAGATAACTGGCTGCTGCCTATAGTTTCATATTTGCTGTACAGACATGAAAGTGGTATCAATCTACTTATCTGATTCTCACCAAGAAAGTGAATAAGCATATTTCCCAAAATGCTGAACTACTTCTTTAATGAAATGTCAATATTTTAGATACAAACCTAATATCTTGCACATCAGCTGTCAGATATGAACTAAAGTTGGATGGATGACGCATTGTGATATTGTGTTTTTCAGGCAATAAAAACATATTTTACTAATGAGGGCAGTGCAAAATTTAAATGAAACCTCATATTTTTATCCTGTAAGACACAGGTCTGATTGACCTATCCATCTCACACTGATTGGCCTAAAAAAGGCTCCTTAACTAAAGGTCAAAATTTTTAACTCAGCCATAATATCTCTCTGTTTAATTGTGTTGTAACATTTAAAAACATTACTCTTGTTTGTATAATGGAGACACTGTGATTAAAGGTCAAATTTCAAGGAAGCAAGGAATCTGGACGGAACTTCAGTCTGTTGTTTGTAGTTCTGATTGGTCAACCGTATGCCTGCATCATTCAAAGGTGCCGATTTATTAAATGCAATATTACAACAATGCGGAGGTGGAGGACTGGAGTCACATAACTTGACTCAAGTCAGACTTGATAAAAGACTTAACTTTGACTTGGTACTCGCGACTTGAGACTGGGCTTAGACTTGAGACAGGTGACTAGAACCCTAAATATTTGCATTTTTCCATATATTTGCATTTTGTTTTCGAAACATGATTGGGTGATTTCTAGTATGATACCTGCAAACCAGCACCATGGGGTCCAAAGTCCAAAAATGCTTAAATTTGGATTGCAGGAGGAACATAGCACAATGCAAGTCCCATATGGAGATGTACTGTAATAGTAATAACCAGAATGGCACACAGTGGAGCTCATACCTCCCATTTCCCATCCTCCCACCAACTTTGGGGTAAATCAGTTCAGTACTTTTTGATGGTGAAAGGTGATGGCTAAGAATTGAGAGTTGCATGTGACTTGCACATGTGTGAGTTACTCCCACCTCTGCAACAATGTCCACTCAATCTACTGGTGCACCAAGGCAGACGTTCAACTCACAGACTCAGAGGATTCAGAGTGCTCCCCCTCTGGCCCAGAGTGCTGTTTTCGGATGCCCCTTGCACCCGTGGGTGGGCGTGGAGACAAGATGCGGATGATGTCTTCTTCATATCTTTTAGAGCGCTCCACCTACCAAACAAGACCATCTATTATTATTACACTGTATGTGGCTATATGTGAAAACATTTGTTCCAGATTAAGATATATTTCTTCAAAATGATTCATGTCACTAACATGTATAATTTCACTTTAAAGAATACATGACTCAGATTGGACCCTCTGTATCCATAGAAACACTGAAGATGCCTTTTTTAATAGATCAACATTGCAAATGAACTCTTTCTAACACATGCTGACCAGTGTTTTGTGTCATATCATTTAAGAGTCATTAGTTTATAAAATAGGGCAGTGAAGCAGTGTTTAAATGTAAATGATGTACCTTGATCTTATGCACTCTTTCCCTCCTTGCAAACTCCTCCAGTTTCTTTTTGATCTCTATTTGATGGAGACGCTGCATGGGAGGGGCACAGAACAAATTAGCATCCTACATTATTCGAGGAGAAGCAAAGATTGGATGATAGTGCTTTTTTTCCACTGTTTTTGTTTCTGGTACACTTTGTTCACCCCACCTCCATCTCCAGCACCTTGTGGAAAATGGCCTGGGCCAAGCATTCACGAACATGTCTCTGGTGGGCTCTCTGGATCAGCTTGTGTCTGTACTCTTTGTCTGGAACAATACGCCCACTCCTGGTGATCTAATAACAACAACAACAGTCTCAGCAGTGTTCAATCAATGAGTTTTTAAGGACTGATAACAATGGTTTCAAACTGAGGTCACCAACAGCTGATACTTTGTGCAGCACTGAAATACAATGCTAGATAAATTAAACTTCCTTGCAGGTTTTATGCAAGTTTCATATTAGTGATGGCCACAGTGTAATAGCCAATATTCAATAAAGATCATTACTAGACTGCAATGTCAATGATCAAATTTCCCTCACTATGAGGGATTACAGGCTGTAAAAATTATTGATGCAAATGGTGAAAGTTTGACAAAAACTGAGCTGAGCTGATAGTATTTTTCTGTTTTTTTTTCTTTCCAGTGTTTGTTCCCTTAACAATGTTCTGAACATCTTGTACGTTAATGTCGGTATTCATACAGTGTTTTGGCAATATTGTATCTGTATATGGTCGTTCCATGAAGGCCCATTTGTAGGACAGACCACATTTGGAGCCAGTTTTCACTATGTCATCATCATCATCATCATATCACCATTGTGTTGACATACCAGTCCTGCTCTCTGCAAGTGTCTTCTGATCCGAGTGTTGCTGAAGTATCCAGTGAGATGTCTGTCTGTCAGACTGTTGTAAGCTGAGATAAGTCTGCAGAAACATGACCGATAAAAACACAGATGCTCTAAATTAATCAAACAAATTTCATCAAGATCTCACTTCATGAGGGGCATCCAGACTTTAAACTTTGTCCTCCGCAAGAGAAGAGCTACTGATTACATCGCACAGAAAACCAGAATCTTAATCAAATGGTTTAGTGGGGGAACAACACCATGTTTGTTTATTGGCAGTCGTTTCTTGTCCTCATTAAGTAGAGATCAGCTTCAGCCCAGCTAGTCTGAAAGCAGTTTTTTTTTTCCTACACAGATTTTATTTCCTCCAGCATTTGTACACAAGACAACAGGATCTTACAACTATAGGGTCTGTTACCGGTGTCTGATTACACACAGGAATTAGAGAGGATGGCACACTTAACCCTGTCTGCCTCCTCTTTGTGTACCTTGATAATTTGTCTCTGGAGCTTCTTAGCTTTGGCTACAGATTTCTCTCAGGACCAAGAGTATGGTGGTTAAACTATTAGTTATCACTTTATACATAACTTTCTCTGACCCAGTCAAACTTTCAGGAAGCACAGAAATATATTGTGATAATGCGTCAAAGCAGTAAAGACAAAAAGACTGAGAACTACCCTTGTTTCTGCTTCTTCTTCTTGTTTTATCACATCTTGTTTAGTGTCATCAGTTAAGCCCTTTCTTCTCTAAAACTGCTGTATGTGAAGTTTTAAATTAGTTTTTAGTACAATAGCTTAATTGTGATATTGGCATATGTTTGGAGTTAAAAGTTAAAATTAGTTCATTATGCCTCTGTAGTGACTACAATTCATTATTTTTAATCAATGAATTAATTCCAGGGTTTCTAACTCATTAAAAACTGTTACACCTGGATAAAATAAAGGTCTAACTTGGAGGTCATCAAAAATAAATAAATAAAATAAATATGAATAAAAATAAATCAAATAAGCATACAGGCTTTAACAGTGAAGTAGCATCAAATGGAAATACTTAAGTAAACCCAGTAAATTAAATTTGCATTGTGGTTTTGACATTTTTACATAAGTAAACATCTCTATACCAATAGTTTCTGTCCTAGTTTCTGCTGTTTCTTCTTTTCTTTTCATGTCGTGTTTAGAGTCATTTGTTGTTTGCAGTGAAGCACATTAGTACAGTAGCCTGAAAGTAGCACTGGTTTAGCGTTAGAGTGAACTACTTGAGTTAGTTATGCCTCAGTGGTGATTGTTACTAGACACTGTACCATACTAGAAAATGGTAGTGTCACTTATGATGACTGTGAAGTACTTGTATGTATTTTCTTGTGGACCTATTGGTTGACTAGCTTAACAGTAGCATTAGCATAGCTTTAGAGTCAATTAAAAGTAGTCAATTATGCCTCTGCAAACTGACATCTTCTAATACAGTTTAATTAAAACCCTGCATCCACCTCCACTCTTGCACAGAAAAAATTAAACTGCACTTACCCTAGATTGAGGTGACTCATGATTTCCAGTTCGCACTCTCTTTTAAATCCCCTCCCTCCCCCCAAAAAAATCTTTTAAGAAACAAGTGGCTGTGGACCTTGCTCGGTCTGCGCTGCAGGGAAGATGTCTAGGCCGGTGTGAAGTCAAATGAACCCGAGGAAGAGTTGTGAAGTGTAGCAGGACATTTTAAGCTGAGCCGGACTGAGGCTGCACCTCTCCCGCAGCGGAACTGATGACACTCGCCGGTTGCCATGGGAGATCACGTGACGATGCTGCCAATGAGACTGGTTTCCACTTACAGAGACACTTTCAGTCCCACTGAGACAGCACACCCAAAACCAGGGACAACACACAACAAACAACCACACCACACACACACCGACACCCACACACACACACACACACACACACACACACACACACACACACACACACACACACACACACACTCACACAGTTTGTTTTTAGACACACATTATTCATTACAGCTATTGATTTCAGAGCATACAACTATCTGCTGGTGTTTAAACCTATAGTCAGCTTTACAAGTACCTCAAATGCACTTAAGAACAGTACTAGGGCAAATATACTTAGTTAACTTTAATTTAAGTTTTCATTAATCCTCACAGTTTACAGGTTAGTGGGGGAAAAATGCAGTAAAAAGTTTAAAGATCCCCTGAACATATGCTTAATACTCTGAAATAATAATCTGCGAATCTGTGTCAAACACAAAAATTAAATTTTTTTGAAGTTACATCCACCTCTTCTTTCCACTTTTCCCCTTCAGCAGATAAATGTTGAAACAGCTGTACAGCTGTCTAGTATCAAACTCTGCACACACATCATCCTGCACAGTGATGCTCAACAACAAGCAAAACACATGAAGGCGGACTTAATGTTATCCCCATAATCACAGAGTGAACAACTGGTAAAATTGGTCAAATTAAAGCTGGCAGAATAGTGACTACTATAATATCCCTGGAGATCTTCACAGTACTGCTGACTAATGAATCGCTAATGTGTGTGTGAGTGTGCACTTAACTGTGTAGGAGTAATCATAGAGATGTTGGTGCTGTCACCATGTGGTATCCATCAAGATAAATATAAAACTGTCATTAAAACTTGTAAGGTCTTAAAACAACTCAACTGCTAAAAAAAAATTCAGATTCTCCAAACTTTTCCATGCTCTATACATTATTAATATTACCATAACTGGCTACAAGGCTATAAAATCAGATCAAATCACTGTTCTCACCACTGATTTCAAAGATGATAAATATATGAGCCATAGTTCGCCAAGCACAATCAGGGCATCACTGAGTCCTTGGCAAAACCCTCAGTTTTCACATAAGAAAATACATGAACAGTTGGACAGGATGAATTTAGACTGCAGGTCCTCTGTGGCCCTCTTGTGGAAATGTAAAAAATAGTTTTTACCCGCAGACCATAATTGTTCACATTTTCTATTATGGACAATACACAAGCCTCCTAAAACTAACTGGGGCCATATTAACTCCATACAATGATTATATTCTATATTTAGGCTACATATATGTGTAGGGGCACTGTACGCTGCTGTCTCATATCTTCCAGTGCCTCATTGCTTTGACATTGTGTTGAAGTACCAAACAATGTGTCAGCCTTTGAATTTTAATTCACAACCCTGGCTCATTTTCATAACCACTTTAGGTGTTTTGCCCGTACCAGTATTGACCAGTAAGGGGAGCCATGTTTCTGTCTGAAGGTGTGTTGAGGCTTCAGAGTCTTTGACTGATAAAAACATGAAGAGAAGATTTTCTTCTGTGCTTCATTGTAATCCAACAGAAAATACAGTCATGCAAGTGGGGAATTTCAGATCATTTTCAAATGTTACATAACACACATATATATATATATATATATATATATATATATGGTCAGGGTTATGGCTTGGCAGACCGTTGCAGTAATCTCTTTCTTTAGAAACTTGAGCCTGATGCTGGACAAAGGAGGCTGAACCCAGGGTCTTTATTCAATGTATAATTTTGACCTCAAATTTAGTGCTTTCCCACAAATTCTCAAAAAAGTAGATCCCATTAGCACAATTAAATAATATCACCTACATTTTAAATAATATCACCTACATTTACTTTTTCTTGTTCACAAATGCAAAGACCCTTTAGCCCATTTCTTGTGAAGTAAAATTAAAATAAACCAGAAGTTTATAGCATGCAATCTCAATGTTGCTGAATGGCGCTGAATGCCTACTCTAAGTGAATGCTCACTGGTGTGCAGTGCATTCAGAAAGTATTCAGACCCCTTCAATTTCTTCACATTTTGTTTTTTAAATAAAAAAATGAAAAGAAATACTTTTTTCCATCACTACCCCATAATAATCCCCTACACTCCTACACTAAGGAAAAACTTAAATATCACTATGACATTATTCAGACAGTTTGCTTGTTTCCACACCTTTACCTTGAGTCCACCTGCATTAAATTCAGCTGATTGTACATGATTTGAAGATGTACACACATGTCACACACCTATATAAAGTCTCACAGCTGACAATGCAAATCAGAGCAAAAACCAAAACCAAGCCACGAGGAGGGAGGAACGGCCTGCAGAGCTCAGACACAGGACTGTGTCGAGGCTCAGATCTGAGGAAGGCAACAAAATAAAATTTCTGCTGCTCCCAAGAGCACAGTGGCCTCCATGATTCTTAAATGGAAGAAGTTTGAAAGAACCAGGGTTCATCCTACATCTGACTGCATCGCCAAACGAAGTGATCAGGGGAGAAAGGCCTTGGTAAGAGAAGTGACCAAGAACCTGAAGGTCTCACTCTGGCTGAGATCCAGAGATCCTGAGGAGAAACTTCCAAAAGGACAACCAGTTCTAAGCGTCATGTCTGATTTCCTTCAAACATTAATTCAGGGTAAATGTAGGAAATGAGCCTTTATAGAGTCATGACAATTAGCATCTGCAAACATCCTCTGATATACTAAAAACATATTTCTGTCAGTGAAGATTTAGAAAAAAGGAACAGAATTAGATACAGTTCACTCTGAACTCTGTGTGTCAACTTGAAGTGACACACAGAGTGCATAAACAGCCGATACATCCAGAGTCTCATGCATTTTTGTCGAACTTGGCAATCAACACTGATTTCAACTGTGAATTGTTATTGAGTTAACAACACGTAAAGCAACACAGCAATGCTTCAAGGTAATAAGCAGCTTCTCAAACCATTTTTTATTGTGCCAATTTGAAAATATAAACAAATATAAAAATACATGTACATAAAAATATAAAGTAAGAGGGCTTAATTCATTCTATGATAATTAAAATGAATTTCTTATTTCTACCCAGTTTCTTTGTTCTCTTTTGGCTTTGCATGGTGGAGTCACCCAGGTCGAAGGTGTCTAATCTGTGTGCTTGTTGCACATTTATGCCCAGCAGCGTCTCTGCACTGCGCTCCTTTCCTCCTGCTTCACACCAGGACGCCAACACACGCCTGTGGATGTCTGTGGCAACAAGGCTGCACAACCCAGACGAAAAGAAAGGAAGACAGTGGGATGGGAATGTAGAGGAGGGATGATAAGAAAGAGGAAAAGTAGAGATGAAAAAACAATAGCTAGGGTATGTGAACACAGGAGTGTGTGTGTGTGCTAGAAATTTCTTATTTGAATCAATGTCCATGTGTCGATTTGTGTATTCATGCTAAGAAACTTGGAAAGCACTGTTCAGATGTTTATTTACAAAGTTAGCCTTGTTGGACACGAGCTAAATAACTGTCAGAGTCAGTATTATTATTATTATTATTCTCATGAAGTAGGTAAAGTACAAAACGCACAGAATAAGAATTTATTGAAGATTCCTGATCCTGATAGAAAATACAAAAATATCCAGAAGTCAACAAAACAAAGAAATATCCATACTACCACTCCTGCCACTCTTATAAGTGAAATAAATATTAATGAAAAACAGAGGGGTAACAGCAGGTTGATGCTGGGATTGGATGAGAAGACAATAATGATAATGATTAACGATAGATACAATTTTCCTCAATAGAAATATGACAAAGGGGCAATTAATATTTGATATAATGAATTCCTATGCTTGGAGTCACTGCATGAATTGAGGTAACCATTGCTCATCTTAGATTTGATCATTGTAATTGTGTTGAATGTTCTCCTTCAGATTTGTGAAATGTTCTGCTGTTTGTGTTTGTCATAGTCTGAAAGATTAGTTTAAAACCACAATTTACCATGTGGTCTCTTCAACTTTGACTCAGGAGCAAAATCAGCCTTTAAACTTGAAAGAAATTATGATATTGACATCTTGATTATTATCCATATCGACTGATGTGAACGATTTTATATCGTGATAGCATTTTTGGCCACCCTGCCCCGCACTAAGTTGATGCTGCTAATTATTCAAGTTTTTTTCAATAAGTTCTCAAGCTCTTGTTAAATGTCTGGCGACATTTTTTAAATCCTAAATAAAATCATGTTCTTAGGCCATCTAATTAAAGTGGAGACTGAAGATGAAATATTTATTGATTATCTATTGATTTAATTGATAAACAAGTCTGCTTTAGAGCATGCATTGCAGAGCTTCATTAATAACCTTTACATACATGTGCTCTGCAGCAGGACTCTGTCACATTAAAAAGTGGACATGAACTAAGATGAACACCCAGGTGGACGAAACAGACTGAGATGGTGGAATTGAGATGGATATACCTTTAATGCTCACAATAAACGCAGTAATCAAGGCAGACATTTCACCAGCACTAAATGCATAATACACAACGTAAGTCTTAAAATAACAATTAGCGTAGAAATAGAAGAGGGGTGATTATAAATTCCATTCAGGAACGGGTCTTGGCTGTAAGCTGGGAGGTGGCAGGGAGATCTCGGGGAGTCATGCGGCTCGGAGATGGGGGGGGCAGCAGTTTTTGCAATCAGCGTTAAATAGAGCAGTTTTGTGCCTGTGTGATTGTCAAGTGGGCCATTACTGGTTGATAAGAGCACTTTTTCCTTATGTCGCTCTGATTGGGCTGAACATGCTGCTCCCTTTCGCATGCTGTCCCAATGCAATCAGGCCCCTCTTTCACCACACTGCCATTTTCAGTGCTGTGATTTCCACCCAATCCCCCATCGGCCCCCAGCCAACGCAACCCTCCCTCCCCCTTCCCCCACTGTCCCTCCTCTAGCAACCCACCTCCCCCTTCAGATTCAATGAGTACCAATTTATAGCAAGGAGAAAAGGTCATGCCAAACTCGTTGTGTCAATTGTAAACCACCCCAATTCGGACTGATTTCAATGAAATAAATGAGCAGTTGCAGCCTCAAAGAAAGCAAAGGTCAGTGTGGAAGTAGCAAATTAGGAGATTTTTTTCTGAGGCTCACAGGGGCCAACGGCTCATCACTTCTCTTGGTAAAAGTCTTCCACATTCCTTGTTCTCACTGTATTTGGTTATCCTGCGTATTTTCTTAAAGAAACTTTCCCAGAGTAAAACAGTTTGCATGTAAAAATATGCTAGATGTTACCAATTTTGTATCATTTAAGGATGAAAAATTCCTCAAGGAATATTTTGATTACAGTCAAAGAACCAAGAGTTTCAATATTTTCAGTGTTCCTTCTTACATGATTTGTTTGGATATGGCATTATGTCTTTTTGAATCTTTATGGTTTAGTGAGGATGATTCTGTTTCCTTTAAATACATCTTTTCTTTTTTTCTTTCCTTCTGACCTTTTTAAAAACCTAAAATGCAGAGGGATGTTTTGATGTGGTAACTCTTCCCTTTGCCACAAATTTGGAATTACACATTTGATGAAAGTGACAAAATACAGAAATGACCGCATTATGCCAATTAAGGAAAAATTACATGGTTTATATTTTATATGGGCAACGTGTAACCCAGTATATATGCCATTTGTTTGCAAAAAAGTCTTTCCCAGACAAAATGCACAGTTTCTTATCCTACGAACTCATGTTTGGGTTCAATTAAAGTTAGAGAGGTCAAACTCCCTGACCAGTTCAAAATCATGTTTACAAGCAATTTATCAGAAAATCATCAAGTATCAAGCTGATAAAACAATGTTAAGTATGTTTTTTTGAGCTGTATACAGGATACAGTGTTGAGAGCAATGATATACAAATTGCAGTTATTATTTCTTTATTATTATTATATTCAGTCAGATATATTTGGCTTTCTTAGTGAATAAAAGGTGTGTTTAAATTCTAATATTGGGGAAAATGCTAATAGATTACACTCTGCACCACAGCTGCCTAATACACAGCCAGATATAAAGCAGAAGAGCAGTAGAACACGTTTTGTAAGTATGTTGAAGGATGAGACATTGTTTGTGTCTGGTCCACATCACCAGAAAAACATTTATGAAGTCAGCCGTGCAGTGCTGAAACTGAAAACATGCAACTGTTACAAACTCAGATTTACATCTTTCCCAGCGTCTGTGCTCATATCAGAGATTCCATATGGTGCGTTGGAGCGTTGGAAGACTTCCACGTCTGGGAAATAATTTGTCTTTTCATGATAAAACTCTTAATAAGTTCTGCTTATTATTTTGGACTATTGTTTGTTTTGGTACACTCTACAGAGAATCAGTCTTTCTGGGCTCACAGCTCTCCTGTCACCTTTGACCTTTCCCATATGAACTCATCACTGAGAGCAAAATAAAGTGGCTTTCCCTGGACTTTTTCTTACTTTGAAGTGTTACAGTGACTCACAGCCACACAGAATTACATGTTGCTTGAGTGAAACGTCTCCACTGCAGTATGCAATGTTTGAGACGTGTTATCTGATAAAGAACATTCATCTCCACCAGGCGGAACAGGACACATCTCGATGGAGGCACGCTAACTCCTTTATCCCCTCTGTGATGGTGCGATACGGACGCAGACTCATGCCGGTACAGGTCGGACTGTTATCCCATCAGAACAGTCGAGGACAGAAAATAGCCTTTTTTCTGTGATGTGAGTGTGTGTGTGTGTGTGTGGCAGTTTGGGTGGAAGGGTATGTGTGGGGGTGATGATGGGTGGGATTGCGTGAGCGTCTGGGTTGAGTGAGTGAAAAAAAGATAAAGAAAAGAGAGAGAAAGCAACTGTGTGTTTTCTTTCAGCTAACCAAAGCAGGTTGTTTATGAGACTCCTTGCATCTTGTCCCTGCGATCCTTTCAAAGTATCTGAATTAGCTCTTAAAAGAGCATATAGAGTCCCCTGCCTGTCACTGCTTGGATGCAGATTGGAAGTTGATATAATTTGCATACAACAATCAGACGGGCTGCCTTATTTTCTATATTGAGCAACACAGTGTGCAGCAGCTGAAGACGCAAAAACACTCAGATGGAAGAAGTAAATTTACTCAAGGCTCTATTTATGTAGAATTTTTGAAACACTACACCCGAGTATTCCCAGTTTATGCCGCTTCACCATTCAACTCCACTATGTTTCAAAAGGGAAATAATGCCCTTTCAACTCAGGTACATTCATTTGTAAGATGTAGCAGCTACAGGTCTAACAGAGTGAGAAATCATATTCATGTCATCTGATGAGTCAGCTGATGATTAGTGTTCGATGATGGTGATCTTGGATGACTGGATGGGATTATAACAGCTGAGTGTACTCCAGTTTTTATGTTACAGCTTGCTCTGATGTACATTGTTTTCTATAAGCTTATATTGGATATTGTTGAATTTATTTTACAAATAAATGTAATATGTTTTATGTAATTGATCATGTTTTATGTTCAGGTCTATGTGGGTACTGTGTTTTACTTGGCTGTGAGACGATAAAGTTAAAGTTGGAAGTTGAAATATAGTTACTCTGCCTAATTTACATTCAAAGCATATTATCAGTTTATAAAACTTGCTTTATCATAGATTAAATTAATGAGCAACATGTAAATCAGTTAGAATTATACCACATTAAAATGTTGCTTGCATGTTCAATCATGCATTAGTGCTAATACATAAATATGATATACTGTTATAATAATAATAATACATAATATAACACTGTGAAAAAGCATTCTGTATGAGTGCCGTTACTTTTGAGACTGCTGACATATATCTTGCTCACAGTGATAGTTTTTATAAGTATTTTCATGTGGCAATATTTCTACTTTTACTTAAGTAAATTATCTGAGTACTTCTTCCATCATTGAGACGAGAGGTGTCCTGCAAGTGCAGATTTGTAGTGTCTTCACTGTGTGTGTGCATAGAATTACACTATCTCTAGTGTTCCTGTTATTCTGACTAGTAACAGAAAACTTTACCGCATATCAGTTTTACTGATAGAAAAGGAGATATAAGCTTCTAATTAAGGTCACAATGTGTAAAGAAGTTATTATTATTAATTATTACAGCCTCATGAAGGTAGGATTCATTTGCAGGACTGATGTATTACACTGCAGTAGTTTTAACCATGTGTACCCAATAAACTGGCCACTGGGTATATATACAGTATTTATACACATGATAAACCAACTGTAAATGAATACTAGCCATATGAGGATTCAAACAAGGCTATGTTGCCAAACATACAAAGCAGGCAAACATCACAGGTCCCCAGACCCATAGGGGCCCCAAAAGCCCCAGGGTCACTGCATGTCAAATTATTCTATTCATTTAATTCATTGCTGATTTGTTATTTAATATTCATTACATGAATATTGTTATGTTGTGTTTAAATTACCACAAAGTAAACAAAAACGAAGTATTTATTCCAGTGTAAGAATACTGGTTGAATTTACAGGCTGAATTTAATGGAAGCTGGATGCAATAGGGCACATAGATTGCATGAGGGCAGGAGGTGGGGTGTCAGTAGGGGTCCAACAGCAGACCAGACGTTGGGGACCCCACTAAGGGTGATAGGATTAAAAAAAATGGTAAAGCACATTCCTGCTCCCCAAAATAATGTTTATTTTTTTCAGATTTTACCGTAATCTTTGCTATTTCTTTTATGAATCACAGAATAATGTTATCTCTTCAGGCCTCTAAAAAATTATTCAGTTCAGACATAACAAGGAAAGAAAATCACTTGAAATGGTCAAAGCCAGTGGAGATGGGAACCATTCATTCAGTGAACTGTAAATTAAATGAAATCTCAATGAAACTAAGATACTTTAGGTTCTACTGTATGAAGCCAGTAACATTAATAATCCATTATAAAAATTCTTAATTACACCTAAACATCCTGCTTTTAAAATGTTACTTAAGTGAAAGTACAGGAGTATTAGCAGCAAAATGCACTAAAAGTATCACAAGTAAAAGTACCTGTTGTGCAGAATGATGCATAATGAATTAATTTTTATATTTGGATCATTATTGCAGAGTGAGCATGTTGTTTCTGGATGAGGTCATTTTAAGTATCTTATATTCTGTTGTGTATTTTTTTCTCTAAAAAAAGCATAATTTCTTTAGATGATCACATGTTTAGTGTGTAAGATCTTAATGTGAAAAGTAACTGTAGCTGTCAGATTAATTTAGTGGAGCAAAGAGCAAAGGCCTACAACATTGTCCTCAGTAATGTAGAAGAATATAAGTGTAAAGTATAGCTGATAAAAAATAAGAAAATTGCAAATAGGCTACCTCAAAATCATAGGTTAATTAAGTTAATTAAGTAGACATCATCACTGGTTATTACCCATTAATATGCATTATGTTGTGTATGGGTCACTGTCATTTCAGGATTTGTGTGTAGGCAAATTTTAATCAAAGGTGCATTTGAAAATACTTATAAGAATGTAACAGTGACAGACTTTGTTTTTTCCCCTCAAAGCTCAAGATAAAACCACACAACAAGCTTACGGGAGGCGCGGCCAAAGAGGACAGGAAAAATGAATTATGATCCGCCCTCTAGACACAGCTCAGTGCGCAGTGACTGACACACAGAGGAATCCTGGAGGAGACTTTTACTTTGAAACTCGGGGAGCGTTTACTACTCCTGGACACAGACATGCGCTGGAAAAGTGAAGTCAAAGTAGAGTGCTGCATTGTTAGCGAGAACGAAAACGAATCTCTGTTGTCCAACGATGAGGTGAGTGATGAAAATTAAAAGATAGACGTAGGTTATGTTTCTTACCGGCAGGTCGTGGTGGGAGTAAGAGTATAGCTATAGACCGTATCGGAGATTAAATATTGGTTGAAATTGCTTTGACCAATTAAATCAGAGTGGGCTTCAGTCTATCATTAAAATCGGCCTTCCGCCGCTGACAGCTCAGTATTTTCACAATTTGAAGAAATATCGAAGGAAATTACCCCTCCCTGAATTCTGCAATTAAAACTCAAGTAGTTAATGAGACCTCTTCACCTTTCTGTTACCCCGGGTAGACGTTTGTGGCGAACTTAGTCTTTTAATTGCTGTTATTAAATAAATCAGTGCCCTTTTCCTGGAGACCTCGCGCTGGTTTTTTGATTGACACCTGAAAGTGGTGTGTTGGGAGTCTAACCACAGCACGCGCGCACGCAGCGAGCAGTTGCTGCATCACAAATGGCAGATCTCAAGAACATAATGCACATAGGATAAGTATTAGTTCAAGTGTTGTCTGTTTTTGTAAGTAATGACTATCCTCCTCTTTTAAATGTCATTTTGGTAATCGTTTGGCGTTGTCATGGTGAAAAGTGAAAGGCATGATATTTATGGGAAGGAGCGGGGGCCATTTAAGGCAGCTGAGGCAGTCTGACGGACCAACATCGTCTTCCCGCCATAGCTTCTCGTCATGTGTGAAGATTGCAAAGGAGAGGAAGAGCTTCTAGGCAAATGCACAGAGGACAGGAGGGACACAATGGTAGGGATTTAATATTGTGGCTAAAACTTTTTTTTTTAATAATTCTATCTTATTTTCTGAAACAGTTTCAGAACTAGCAGAGGCCATTTTTGACGGATAAAGGTTTTGGTAAATTTTGGGCAAATATCCCGACTACACCTACATATCTTACTTTACATTAGCTTCTAAAAAGACAGTGTGGGGGCAGCTCGTAACATTATTTTTTTCTCTTTAGTAAGCCTCTATTAGACTTTTGGGGTAATGGGTAAGAAAGAAAAAAAACCTTCTTTCCAAAAGTTTTTGTTTTTTAAATTATTATTTTGTTAGAATAATGGCTGCTAACTCTGTAGATTGACATATTGTGTCACTTGCTCCTGAAAAACCTGAAAACAAATGACGTTGAGCCAGGAAAGTGTACATTTTAACTACATTATGAGAGTAAATCATTTATTTTGAAGTTATTTTTGCGGTTCATCATTGTCATTGGTGGCACTGACAGGTGAATCGAGTTCAAACATATTATATAGTACCATGCTGTATACCCTAGCTGTGGGGTGTTTGCGTTCCTGTGCGTAATTTTCTAACCGCAGCTCTGATCCCTTCAGGGCGCGCCGGTGGAAGTTTTGGATGAAGACGCGTCGTCGCTGCAGGCGATGGCATCTGCACCTCTGCTGGGCAGAACTGTGTGTGCGAGCTGCAACGAGGAAATTGTGGATAAATATTTATTAAAGGTAAACACTGTTAGGTCTTATTTTCTGCTGAAGTTTTCTGTTTTTCCTTGCGAGGATTGTCTTTCATTTAACTTCGGGTTGTTTTTTTTTTTTTTTATTAGTTTGCCTCTGGATTTCTGTGGTTTTAAGCCTCACGCTGGTAATTAAACGAGTATATTCAACAGACCTACCTCCAAACTCACTGACTTTATATTTATCATTTATCTTTGCTTTAGGTTAACGACTTGTGCTGGCATGTGCGCTGTCTCTCATGCAGCGTGTGCCAGACTTCACTTGGCAGCCACACCAGCTGTTACATCAAAGACAAAGAAGTTTTCTGCAAACTGGATTACTTTCGGTATGTGCGTCGATCTTTATTAGTGCTAATCAAACGAAAATAGAAGCTACCGAAACGAAATTGTTGCAAAAAAATAAACCTATCTCGATATGAACTGCTTAATAATTATGTTATATCGGAAATTGAGGGATAATAATAATAGGCTAATAATAATAATAGGCTAATAACAACAACAATAATAATAGTAGTTGCATCTGTGAAATTTCAATTTAAATTATTTAAGTTATGTTAAGTTAGTGGCGAATAAAAGCACCATTAATCAATCAGTTCAATATACAGCGGTTTTGCCTTCAACAAAACATTTGGATTTACATTTACTCGCAGCATTTCAACTTTCAATCATCACATATAAAAGAAAGATCGATAGTCCAGATAGATTGATAGATATCGAAGATTTTAGTAATATATATATATGTAATATATAAACGTTAAACGTTGTATGACTTCTATCACGAAGGGAAGACCAGAGAGTAAAGGCATCTGTATGTCTGGGAGTTTTACTGTAGTGGCATGGACAAAATTCTGCTGGGAAAAAAAAAAAAAAAAAGGCATCAGAAACGATCCAAATTAAAAATATTGTGTTAAAAAATTGGTATCATCCTTTAAAATACAGAGAAGACATCACTCTCAAGCGTTAAAGCATTTCAATGCCCTCAGGCAGCTATGTGGGTGTCTGATGTGCTCACCATGACCTTCACCTGCAGAAGATACGGCACCTGGTGTGCGTGCTGCGGCAGAAACATCCACTCCACAGACTGGGTCCGCCGGGCGAAGGGGAACGTCTACCACCTGGCCTGCTTCGCCTGCTTCTCCTGCAAGAGGCAGCTGTCCACCGGGGAGGAGTTCGCCCTGGTGGAGGAGAAGGTGCTCTGCAGGGTCCACTACGACTGCATGCTAGACAATCTCAAGCGGGCCGTGGAGAAAGGTGAGCCGGCCGGACACTGATTTCAAAATCAATCAAAATTATTATACTCTTCCACTTTCAGTCTCTACAGAAGTTCCTACGTGAATATAACTTAAAATATTTCCTACAGATTTTCTTTTTTTACATTTTTCTATTAAAAAAATCAGTAATTTCTTTTACTTCAAGCTAATGAAAATTTTTTATTGATAATAGATCATTAGGCCCATGGAAATTACCAGTAGATCTAATCTGAACATATACTACATAAAACATCTATATAATGTCCTGAGAATAACAATGTATTTGAAATGAATGCAAAAAATTGTCAGGTTTCCTTTTTCAATAGCTCCTTTTAAATATGTTTATTGCATACGGCTCTTGTTTGTGTTTTTTTCTGTTCAATGTGTTGTGCTTCTAATAGCATGTGCTTTTTATACCAAAAATATTTTAATATGAGATATTTCTCTTTGTTGCAGGAAATAGTGTGAACATGGAGGGGGCTGTGCCCACCGAGCAGGAGATCAACCAGCCAAAACCCTCCAAGAGAGCTCGGACCAGCTTCACTGCCGACCAACTGCAGGTTAATATCCATCATCACATAACAGACAGACTGACAGGCAGAAAAAATGTGTTCATATTAGATCGCTGGGTAAAATAGTGTGTTTGTTCTATACTGAAGAAAGCGAAAAGTCAGGCTACGAGTTACTTTAATTAGAACTTCAACTACAAATATATATTAAGACAAGGTCTAGGTTATCTCACAATATCACAAAAGCAGATGTATATCTGAGAACAACAGTTTGGCCAACATCAAAAAACATGTTAAATTTATGGCCTTAGAAAATTTCCAATTTAAAGATATAGAGCCTGAAAACATTGGCCTTGGCCTTTAAAATGATATTTGAATTACAAATTTGTGTCATAAAGATTTAGGGCAAGTTCAGATGGGTTAACCATCCATTTTCATCAAAAGACACACTGAGAACATACTGCAACTCTCAGAGCAGAACCACAGAAACACACTTCTTTTCTTAGACAGGCATGTACACAGATTTTGATAACTACTTTAGTTTTTTCTAATGAGGGCCTTATTATATCATATTATACTAAAATCAGATGTTGATTTTAATAAACTACATCAATTAAGTAAAGCATTTATTTGAATGAAACAGACACTATGCAGGTAACAGGGATGCTGGTTTTTAAATAACAAAGTTGTATGCCATCTCTGAGTAATAATAATTTGCACATCGTTCAGGGTAATTTTAATTTTGTGAACTGTTCATTTGAAGCCAGCATTTAGAACCCTGTAGTGCAACATGTCGAGAACCTTAATTACTCAAAATGTCATTTTTCTAATCACTTTTATCTATATTAATTCGTTCCCACTTGACAGTTAAAAACATGTTTGGTCAACAGTAGTGACTTTGCATGCCAAAAATCCCCACACAGCAGTGACTGTTGTTCTGCAGCTGGATCATTTAGGCTTTTTACTCACAGGACAACAAAGTAAACCTGTCTGACACTGAACTGATTTTCTTTTACGTGGGAACTTGCAGGTAATGCAGGCCCAGTTTGCTCAGGACAACAACCCAGATGCCCAAACACTGCAGAAACTGGCAGAGCAGACGGGCCTCAGTCGAAGAGTCATACAGGTCAGTGAAGGATTGGGGCATGAGGTGAAGACGGACGATGGAATATACAGTGTACAGTCCTGCTACTTAGAGAGATGCAAGAGTTAAATCCTAACGATTATTGAGGCATATTTGCATAATATGCACCTGCCGGCAATACATGTCCAAGACCAAAGGAAAAACACAAATTCAACGATAGCTCTATTTCAAATGATAGGTGTTTATGTGTAAATTTACAAATAAATTGTGCACTGAATAATAGAGGATAGATAAGAAATTCTACAAGCCTGTAGTTTATCCTAATTAAAGGCTTTTTCCTCTCATCTCGCTGACTTTCTCCATCTGACTGTCTAACTTAAATTTTTGTGTGTGACTAGCCATCTCTGTCTCAGTCTGCATCATCATATACAGTATACTGTGATAATGGCTTGTGATTATTGATGCATTAGTGTGATTGCTGTAACTGGTTGAGATAAAGCCAGTTTTAAATACTTAAACTGCTGCATAGTTTAATCTATAACCATGCATTTTATTTTATAAGCTGATCATATTTTTTTGATCGTATGTATGTAAAATATTAATCGACAAAGTATGCAGTAACTATAGCTGATGAGTAAATGTAATGGTGGAAACAGTACAGTATTTTCCTTTGAAATATAGTGTAGTAGAAATACAATGCACCATAAAATGGAAATAGTCATGTAAAGTACAAGTACTTCAAAACACCACTGGTGAGATCCAGGACAAACACAGATATTTTTACATTGAAAGAGCATTTTTGAAATCAACAAACTGCATCTTCTATCAAAGAAAGAAGTATTTACAGATTTAGTTGGTATAAGTCAAACAAACGTAAAAGTGATACAAGTTTGTGTTGAAAGCAACAAAGGATTATGATTAGGGTCAATGTAATTAATGACAAGCTATGCTATGTTATCTATGTTTCCAGTCACACAGCTTTACATTAATGGCTGTGAGACTTAAACCATGGTGTCCACTGCTAACAGTGGTACATCCACAACAATAGATTGACAAAGACACTTTTCGGAAAACACACCTCTGGGCAGATTTGTCACCCTTGCTACTTCAGCCAAGCTGGTGTCTCTGCTGAAGATATAAGCCACATTCAACCTTGGGATTTTCAAAAAATGAAATGCACCAATGAATTAACATGGAGTGGGAACGCTATCATAAGCACATCTTTATAATTGCTAAAAAACTACAACCAGAGGAAAGCGGTGACTCAGCTGTACCACCATGAAAAATTGATAGAGAGTTTATTTGGCAGAGAGACAAAAAGGCTTGTACAATTTACAACCTGCAATAGAAACTATTATAACATTGTGACAATGTATGATTTTTTCATGCCATGTTGCTTTCAAAAGCTACTCTACAAAAGCTGTTTGTCCTGTTAACTCAGGTCTGGTTCCAGAATTGCCGAGCTCGCCACAAGAAGCACGTGAGCCCCAATCACACCTCCAGCACCCCGATGACCTCATTGCAGCCCAGCCGCCTGTCCCAGCCCACCCCAACCCCCGAGGAGCTGCAGTACACAGCCTACGGAGGCCCAGAGGGGTCAATGCTCTCTGCACTACACTCCTTCATAGACAGTGAGAACCAGACTTTTTATGAATTCTTATCGGAGCGATTCTGATAGATTTTTCCTGTATTTGGCAAAATGTTATGAACTTGTGTGATAAGGTTTACAGTATATGTACAAATATATGTGAAATTACTATTTTTACATTTTTAAATATGTTTCTTTTTTAAATGTAAATGGTATAAAATCCAAATATGCCATAAGAAATATTTCGCATGTGACATGCCAAGGGCAATGAACAAAAAAAGCACAAGTTACACTGATGTTTTCCCATGTGATACCTTACATTTGACATGTGAATTGTCTGAAAAGCAAACCTGTATGCCAGTATGACCTAGAGGGGGGCCTCCTGAATCTGTTTTTGATTTCAGCTGTTTGAATCACTTGAAGAAATATTTACAATGATAAGGATAATTTATAAGTCACCAGTTGCACAGGTTTATCTAAATGTAACATTCTGTGAAACTAACAAGGGGCACAAGGAAAGGCTGCCCATTATCTTCTTTATATGTTAGCAATTGGACCTTTGGTTGAGAAAATGAGGGAAAAATATGAGATTAGTTTATATGCTGATGATTAGATGTTATATAACACCATATCTCTGAAAATGTATGAAGGAAATCATTGAAAAAGATGAACATTGTAAAGGATAATTTCTATTTTTTGGTTATTTAATCAAAGCGAAAAAAATTTATAAAGGAAAAAAAAAATGGCCAGACCGGCCCATAAACTCGGTGGGATAGATGTTTTTAAAATAATATCAACATACTTTTTTGTTGTTAGTAGCACTCTTTCTTTAGTCAATTTCTTCTCATGTTGACATGTATCACAAAATGTTTTTAGAAACCATAGAGGAAATATAAAAGCTTTCAAAAGCTGGTCATAACAACTGTCATTTATTTTTGCAAAAATATGGGCAATACTAATAGGGAACCATTAAAATGATCAGGATTTTCATATTGTTGAGAATAATCTATATTAGGTTGATATTTATCAAATAATTTACCTTACACAAAAGAATCTTAAAGATGGTAAAGTATTCCCATTGTTTTAATGAAAAGTTTTTGTAGAATACTGTATATTTATTTAATTTATGGAAAATGGATTCAGAATTGCTAAAACAAAAATGTCACTTCTGGGTTAACCTGTGAATTATTGTAATGACTGGTGCTCTGTGTGTGCCCGCAGTACACCCCCCTCCATCCATGTTTCAACCGCTGCTGCCAGCCCACGCCATGACCTCCCTGCCTGTGTCTCACGCCTGAGCAGCTCTCTCACACACACACACGCTCACACACATACAAACACACACACAGGCCTCAGACTTCACCAGCGATCGTTCGTCATTAGCAGCCGCAGTATTCAGATCTCCTTGGTAAATATAATTTAATTTTCAGTGAACCATAAAACCCTTTTCTTAAACCGCCAGTTGTCATTACATATTCTTTGAAAACACTTACTTCATTGCTGAGCATTATTATGGATGAGTATAATTTACAGTCCTAAATGTACTGTATGATGTGGAAATGGAAAAGTTTCAGTGTACCTCATAGGATTGTGACATATGACATTATAGATTTTATATTTGTTTGTGTTGTTGGTGACACAGTTTGACCGTGCTACTCTAAGTGAAAGCCACCAGACCCCAAATGTCAACTCCTTCTGAAGATGAACTTGAAATTGTTTGTATAGCAGTGTTTCAATATTGCAATTTAATTTATTTATTGTATGTGAAGTCTGTTTTGAAAATAAATGTCTAATTTCACAAAACTGGGAGATGTATGAATGAATGAAAACATAACAAAACAGCTTACAGCCAGTAACAGCTGACATGGCGCAGTGTTTGTAGTAGTTTTGCAGTTTTGGTAAAGTAGTAGTATTAAGAGTATTAAGTATTAAGAATTAAGTGTGTGAAGTAGAAAAACAATTTATTGATAAAAACAGAAGTATCAAAGCACATCTATATTATGATGAATATAGACACAGACAATATATTCTGTTAAAAAAATACATGCATCTCTTACTGTATAAATAAATATATGACAGAGGCATTTATACTGACAGTTTTCTGCACAAATGAGACAGAATAAATAAAACAGTTTGGAGTATAGCTCATCTCTCTGTCGATCGACAGCTTAGAGCACTGCATCTTCAGTTTGACTTTTGCAGTAAGAAAACTGACACCCATTCTAACAGGGAGAGACGTTTTACTTGTGTGTACTTGTTGACTGTGGTTGACCAAAAGAATCTAATTTCCAGACATGGGAGGGAGGGGGAAGCATATAAAAACACAGTTTTTACTTCACTTATCAGATCTTAGGTATTTACCCTCATGGGAATGAAACTAAACCTGAGGTGCACGCACAAAAAGATACAAAATTCAACAGGGTAAATAGTAGTTTTTCAGTGTATAAAAAAAAAAAAAAAAAAAAGAAGGAAAAAACAAAATGCAGTATGTGTAATATGCCATAGTGAGCACTACATGCATCGTTTCTCTCCTTTCAAATACACAAGCTGAGTTGTTTTGCTTTTATTGAATGGTTAATGTCGTACGTGTCCCAGCGTGTTCAGCTCAAACGGGCAGAAGGTGTGTAAGTCTGGCAGTGCTGTCACTCTGAGGCACCATGAGGGTAGGTTCTCAGGTTTGACAAACAAGATACAAAGACTCACAGACAGGGGCTGCTTCTCGAAGATTTAAAGGTCAGTATGATACAGAGTGACGCATAAATCCCATTTGGACAAAAGAAAACCTGATCAAAGGTTTAATGTCTGTAGTATACAAGGACACAGTGTGTGAATCTGCTAAGAGCTGTGTCACCCCGCTGACACCAATCTCATTGTGCAAAGAAATTAACCAGGAATATACTGGATGGAAGACAAAAAAAGAAAAAAGTTCAGCTGCAACTCACAGGATTTCATCAACTAATCAAATATTACATTAAACAGACAAATCCACACAACTGTGTCTTTCACATGACTGGCTCACTAACACTACAATCATGCAAACTGAACTTCACCTCAGTTGTGTCAGAAAATCAAAAGGAGCTCATATGCTGATGCCAGATCTGAGCTCATACTATATATATATTGCATTGGCTGAAGTGAGTAAAAAAAAAAAAAATGAATCTGATTAATAAAATACGTTGTTTGACTAGGATGCTAATAACTATAATATTATGCAGGACCAGCTTGACCATGTTGGCTCAATAAGAGGACCCATAGTGAAAAAGCTATCATTTAAAATGATGTTTGTAACTCAAACAAGAAATTCTAATCTTATATTTTGCTCAATAATTGTCAAAATTAAAGTGATGCTCTACCCAAAATCTATCTTGTTAGTGGCAAAGATCTACCTACTGTTGGGTTGAAGCTGCATCCTCCAATGGCTGTGATCAGATTGAAATGGTAAGTTTATAATTTGGAAAAACTCTAAAAACTATTATAGAAACTTCCTAAACCACTCCAGCAGCTTAGACAAGCTTCTGTGTTTTGTCGCTCATGTAGTTGAATGAGCCACACACATCTGTATTTAACTGTGGATTGTTGCTGTCATTTGTCACAGGTGAATAAAGTGACAAACAACAGCCAGTTTTGAAAACTTACTTGTATTGGAGTACATTGTAACTGACATCAATTCAGATTCTGATCAGGGAAGGAAACCACATTTAACAGCCACCACTCACCTACAGGAGGTGACTCTCTAAAACTAATAAGATCAATTTTTGGGGAGTATCGCTTTAAGAGCAGCCAATCACCACATTACACATGTTGTGATTGTTGTAATTATTGGTTTGAGTCTAACACATGTGCCCATATCATCAGCAGGTTAAAAAGCAAAAAAATAGCACGTGTTACAGGTACAGGTTCTGTGGTTTTTGCTGCTTGGACTCACTGATTGCTTCCAAGAAAGTTCTTCAAAAACCTCAGAAAAACATCTTCATATGTAAACTATGTAGCTGCAATATGCAATTAGGCACTCAATGTGGCAAGTCTAAGAAAAAGGCACTTAACGAAGCAGCACCTTGAACTGCTTTGCCATTATGTCCTTGACACTTAAATATGAAAACAGTGGACACTGAGTGCTGAATATTTCTCTCAATGTGAGACACTCTGCGGTCAGAAACTGTTAACAATACACAGATGAGCTGACCTTAAACAATCTCATGGAAAAAAAAAAAATTGTTCAAGCAGTGCATGCAGCCTGAACAACAGCAGACATAAGATGTCTTGCAATAACTGGCACCACCAAGTGGTGAAAACTGTCATCTACAAGAGCTCAAGAACAAAAACAGCTGAGGTTTACCACCGTCTCAATAAAGAAAGAAATCACTTATTCCAAAAGGAACTTACTGTGTAGTATGCCTGTAGCTGTGTATAGATCTGACTGTGTAAAAAGTATGCAGCAAACCATATTTCATTTATACATTTACAAAATATATAATTATAAGAACTTGCTAAGACTTTGTCTTATCCATCCAATACAAAGACTTTTTTAGACTCATGGAGTTAGACATGAATACCAAACTACCAAATGCATTCATCAGTGTAAATGAATCAGATTATTATATCTGCTTATTTACAGTTTGTTCGTTATAGTATACCAGTGCAACTTCTGTATACTTCAATTACATTTGGCAAAAGGTTTGCCACATGGGCTTGTACCATGGTCTGGTAAGTGACCAGTCTTTCTCCTTCCCTCACCTTTCTACTTGTGTCTTTTTGAGGATGTTCTACTTGTTGAGGATGCTCCGCAAGCTTCTGTTCATGTAGAATGGCCGCTGAGGAGTGCCGTCGTTCACCTCCAGATCCCACACTAGGAGGCAGCAGCAGCAATGAGTTAAAATCACAGTTGGGAAAAATCACTTAATACATCAAAGTTAAACCCTGATATTTCTGATCATCTTGAACTGTCAAATTAAAACCAAAAGCAACATACTTTGAAAATTCACTGGACAATACTTCAACCATTTATGTTTATTCAAAAAAATGATTCACATTTTCATTGGATTTCATTGATAAAAAAAATTCTCCTATACAAAAAGAACACTGAATAACCTCCAGACAGATGCGTGTATTATACTTAGTATTAAAACAGCACTACATCTGAACCATCCAATAAAAAATTTACCAAAAATGGCTTTGACATCCTTTTATAAATTGTATCGCAAAGGTTCCTGGTGTTAGGTCTAAAACCACAGAATAAGGAGGAACATTTTCTTTTTTTTCCACAACTAGGCACATAAACTAGTGGCTGCATTCAAAAGTTTCCTGAAATCTGTCAGGTTCTGTTCAAATTTTAAGCAAAAACCATAAAATGTCTTTTGAAGTCTTGACCTCCCAAAAAGTCTCTGTCTGGGTTACAGTACATCTATGAGCATAATGGAAACTTTGAAATGATTGTGACCTTTTTTAAATGATGTAAAAGAAGAGAAACCTGTTTTGCCAAGTGCAGTATAGACACCATTTTTGGATTTGTGTGTCAGTGTTAGTATAAATACAGTGGACCAAAGCAATCTATAAAACCAATGGTAAACATCAACAGCCAGCAAAATAATCATGCTAGGCAGAAGAAATAAATCACATGGTTCTTTTCCCATATGTGAAAGTGCATACAAAACATGATTTTACACTAGAAGACCAAAGTGCGACAAGAGGGTGCCCCATAAGTCCACCACTTTTTTTTTTTTTCTTCTTTTTTCCCCAATGGTGATACCTTATGCCATAGTCCATCAGTGGCATCTGTACATTTTAAGATCTTCATGTTTGTTTGGGTAAAATGCTTTTATCATTTTTATCTCAGTCTGTGCATCCGTCCTGCGAGTTGACAAGTACCCTCTCAGTAAGGCAGAGGTCAGCAGAAAATACAGAAAAGAAAAAAGAACAAAAAGCATGGCAGAAAAAAAGGCAAGTATCTGAGTTGGCTCAAGAGGAAGTGTACAGAGGTCTTTTTCTAGCCCCCCCCCCCATGCCTTTTCTGTGAGGAACTGAAGTAAAAGCATGTCCTTTCATGTCCACGTCATCCCAGACCAGGCTGGGATGCATCCAGCTTTCATGTTTAGCCCTACAGTACTCGCTCTCAAACGTCCAGACTCCCACACATACAGTAGATATGGAGAAGTGAGTGAGAAAGTCAGCGGTTTAGTAAAATGGCCGCACATCGCTCAGGAGGCAGCGCATGATTTGGCACCCTCCTCGCCTCTGCGCAGGATCTTGTGCAGGCCAGGAGACATGTAGTAGGGCCTGGAGGAAGAACCATCATTCCTCTCCAGGTCTTCACCTGAGACCAGGCCCCAGCACAGAAAAGGAGGAACAGGAAAAGTAGACAGTGCACAGAGAGACGGCCAGGAAGAGAAAGAAAAGCAAATGCTTAGTAGAGACAAATAAACATGCAGGACATGCAGGAATGAAAGAGAGCAGAAACAGTGAATGAGCAGAAATCAGTTACAGTTATGATTTAAAGCCAGTTTTAAAGAGGGAAAGAGTTATTTTCAACTGCAGACAGGCTACTTGTCATTAAATCTTAACCTTCATAGCAGTGCTCAGTACAAGTAGTCAGTATTCTGAAACTGTTCCATGTGAAGTACTGAAAAACCAGCATACTTACAAAAGCACAGGAACAATGTGTCCACACACATGGCATAGACGTTAAAAAAGCCATGTGCAACCATGTAAGATCCAAATATCACCGTCTGAAAGAATCGACAGGTTGTAGTTAGTATGCAGTGTATTGTTAGCATCTATCTTGCATGTCTGTTTTATTATGTGAAAACAAAAATCTGCATTCCACCAAATGCATCAAGAAGAATATAAAGCACTGAGTCATAAATCCATCAACAAAAACAAATTGGACTGTGCAACACTGAAAAAAACTGGAGTATCTGCAGTGGTGTTACAACAACTTAGCACAACAAAGAAAAAAAAGAAACTTTGGTGTGCACTTGACAAATGTTAAGACATAAGATAAGCTTAGGAGAAAACAGCAGTCACTATAAAACATACTTTAATTCAATTTTCAGAGGTATCTTCACTGCTTCTCTCATTTAATTTCACATCTGTATCCATCTAATGCTCCAACTGCATTTTAATCTTTCTCTCTTGGCATTACAAAATGTAATCAGCGTAGCTATCTATTTAAAAAAGGCACAGACAAAGGCAGAGACATGAAATGGAGGAAAATCAATGGAATAATTTTCAACAAGAAAGTTTTGAATACAACTAAGCATCTGGATAAAATCCTTTGTGTGCACAGTGATTAGACCAAGTCGGAATACAAATATATCTCAATTTGTTCAAGTAACCTGACTTGGTCTCAGTACTCTGTGTACAAATACTTATTAAAACCAGCCACATTTTAAATCCTCACCAGAAGGGGCACCCAGTAGTAATTAAGGGATGGCACCTCCTCTTGAATGACTGGTATTTGACGTGTGAAGAAGAAAAATGCAAGGACACCTGAAAAACAATAAAAAAAAGTCTAAATATCTAAATAACAAGCAGAGATTTAAAAAAAAGGATGTGATATTATATAGTATATACAGTCTGGGACCACCTTCCTATGATACATATAGTTGACACACAGCAAAAATAATTCTTCTCAGACTTTTTACACAGGCGGTTATAGGTATAGAGGTTATAATTTGGTGAGAGGAAATTACAAATATACATAATTGTTCTACTACATTCAGTTCAATAAATCACACATTAGTGAAACCTAAGGAAAAATAGCAAGCTGCTGCAAGTGGTTAGTATAATACATAAACAAACAGCAATCTTTTTATACAGGGGCCTTTTAGGGCTGACTACTAGGATTGATTTGGATTTATATTTAAATTAAAATCTCATAAATTGGACTGATCTCAAAAAATATCAGACGATTTATTGTCCTTCTCATTCTGTGCCCTCTGCAATTTTTCATCTATGCCACGATTTATGTCACTTCATACACTGCAGGTGACATGACACTCACCAACACTTCCTGAAATTAGCAGTTTTCCCAAGAAGAGCAGGAAGTCTGTCACCTTGTCCAGGACAGCCACCCTACAGAGGAGTGAGAGAAGAGCCAGAGTGGAGGGGAAACACACACACACACCAGAGAAATGGAGAGGACACCGTCATGTACTTAGACACAGACTCAAGGGAAATCTATGAAAGTGCACACATCATTAAATACATAATACATTAGGGACAAATTTGCAATTTCTTTAGACATGAATTTCTTGATTGTTTCACCTAATTGTATAGAGTAAATTCACAACTTTTATAACTGCCTTGCCAAAATGTTATTTGTTATGTTTGCACCTTGACAGACTTATTAATTTGAAAACCCAATAAATCATCTGTACTCTGACCCTTGATATGTGGTGCTGACACAGAAAAATAACAAAAGGTCTTACCGAATAACATTCCTCATCAAGAGGAAGAAAGCGTCCTTGGAAGAGGTGCAGAAGTTCTTCCCATATATTGCTATCTGTTGGGGGGAAAAAAAGGTAGATCAGGCTTAGCAGAGGGTAATTAAACACTGAGGTACAAGCCAGGCCAACTAAAAACTGCTGACAGATACTTGCAACATATCAGTCAAAAGCAGATGCTCCACAACTCACCATAATGTATGCATTTCTGTTTATAAACTTGATGAAATGTTCCAGGCACCAGAAGCAGCATTTGAGGCAGCAAAGCAGGTATCGAGCGCAGGCATTTTGAGAACCTGGAAAAATATAAATCATCAACATCATCCTTGGAATAATTATTACATTTTTGGAATATCAGTGTCTTTAACAGTCACAGCTTACCTTTCAGTTTCTGATCCAGGTACATGAGAACAATTCGGACCGTCTGCACCACGGCAATGATCAGAGAACCGAAGGCGAGGGAACCTGTGTGATAACTGTGACACGAGATGAAATGGAACAATGTAGATCTGAATATTTGCGTAGGGAGTGTGTTAAACTCAATTTCATTTTTTATATTGAACACAATCTAAAGAAAAGCCTATCAACTTCTTAACAGATTCATCCGATGCCTGTGTTGGGAAATTCCTTACTTTTTATTCTGTTACTAATAAGACAAGCAGATATGACCCAAATGAATTTTCACAGGTACAACACTAACATGTACAAAAAAAAAAAAAAAAAAAAAAAAAAAAAAAAATCTACTGTAAATCTAATACATTGTAAAATAATATAATATCCCTGTCCATGCTGCCCCCTACCGTATGGCTCTGCTAAATGACGAGTAAAGCGGGCAGGTAGGGATGTTGTTTGGCTTCTTCAGGGCCCAGTAGTAGGAAGCAAAGGCCCCAGCCAGGGTGCACTGGCCCAAGGCGATGGTAAAGTTGACGAGCCAGAGGAACACGAACAGGTTACACAGATGGAGGACTAAAATGTAGCGGTGGTACACACTCTCCCCACCATAGAAGGCGAACATGCATTGTGACCCGGGGCACACTTTGGTGATATTGGTCTGACTGAAGGTCTAAAAGAAAGCAACGGATTTAATATTGACAGTGATGTAATATTAGCTTAAATATTTCTGTTTGACTTAATTCATGACAAGTAGCTCTGGTAGAGTTTTTCTGTGATTTGAAAAACACTAGTGTTACTGTTCTGTTTTTCCTCTTCTGAATCTTGGTTTTGCATGCTAATGAAACATTTCTCAGTGTATGGCTCTGAGGTAATCCTGCATCTATTTAACAGTGTGACCACATAGCGTATCAATCCTTTTAAAAGCTCACATTACTATGCAAAAGCCAGGGAGGACAGGCAGGCTGATATTTAACATATGTCAAACAGGCATTCATAGCTGTCAGCCACTAATATAAACTCTTTTTACATTACAGCATATTGATTCTAATGGTGCTAATGGCTCTCACCAGATTTTACTTAGGCAACAAAGAAGCTATTACACTTGCTTTCACTGATTACAGTGGAATGTGATGAAAGAATCTGACTGACAAATTATTTCACAGAGCAAAAAGTAACAGAGAAATTACTCAGTTACAAACACAGAATCAGTGACACTGGTATTTTTCTGAAAAAAAACAGAGCAAAATAAATAGATGACAGATAAAGTATTTCATCAGTAGATAAACTTCAGTGTGTAAGAGTGTGTGGGGCTAACCTTTGGATTGCATGTGAGGTTGGCGTACATGCATTTATCATCAGCAGGTGTGACCCTATAGACTGCATAACCAGATGATGCTAAGAAGCTGAAGGGTAGACTAATTAAGGGCAACACAAATGGAAATTTCCTACACACAACAATTGCTACTTCTTAAAGTAAACTGCTATTTACACAATTGTCTATGTTGAGTTATCGCCACAATTAACTGTTTATAATTCAGAGTTGTATGACACGAGAACAACAGCTAATTTCCATTTTGCTCTTGCTTTTAAAAACATAATACACCAAACACTATCCAATTTCTACATCCACTACAGTTGTACTGCACGATGTGTTTACTGAGAATCTTAATTAAATTCATGTAGCATTTCTACAGTAAAACTATCACAGGCTCCATGAAAGAAGCAAACAGTTCATTAGTGTCCCAGTTGTAAGGATACACTGCTGTAACAGCCCAGTAAGCGATGCAGATGGCCAGAAGGAAAAAGGTGATGATAGGGTAGAAGAGAGTGGACATGATGTAGCTAATGGCCCTAGAAACAGCAGAGATTAAACATTGTATATTTGAAAAAAACAGTTAAACACAGTATTTCATTTTTAAGGAGTCAGCAAAGCTTTTATCCATTCTTACTTGCTTCCCTCTTTCAGTAATGCAACAGCGATGCGCAGCCTCGTCCTCAGAAATATCAGTATAATCACAATGATGGCCTCAATCACTGACAGTGAGATCACTACAAAATAAATGCAAAATTTAAATATAATAATTATCAGTGGACGCACAACAAATATGTTTTAACATGTCATTTCAGCATTTAAAAACCAAGTTAGTAAAATACTCATTTATATCACTGATGCTAAAAATTCATGGCAGTGCAAGCCACACTGAATGGGAACAAACAACTGACATGTGTTATGTAACGTGAAGCTCACATAATAAAATAGAAAAGTGTGGAGTTAAGGTATGGTGGAAGATGACAACATACTGAAGATGAGCCACGTCTCGCTGATCTTAAGGTAAATGCTGAAGTCTGTGTGAAAGCCGATATCGGAGATGGTGACGTTAGAACCTGGCTTCCCTCTCAGAGTACTGTATTCCCAGTAGCAGTGCCAGATACCTGAGAGACAGAGAGAAAGAACGACAAATCTAAGGCAATTCTAAATTTTCTACAATTTGCCATGACAACAGGATTGCTCACAGTAAGATAGGTTAGAAAGTCAAATGTAAAAAAAAAACCCAAAAAAAACAAAAACAGGCGACATCTCCAACATGTGTGCTAAGTATATAATAGCCACTGGCAATGTGGGTAAGTGTCTATGATGCATACTCACCATAGCCGACAGAAGCGATGGCACCGAAGACAATGAGCCACAGGAGCACACCAGCTGTGTAGCGCAGCAGCAGGATAAACAGCAGACTGACTACCATGGTTATCACCAGACCACTGCAACAACACACACATACAAACACATAAACACCGGGAAATGACCAGAAATTAATATACATTTCAGATGATATCCCATGAATAGGCTTTGCCACAAATTAATTCAGGTAGACTTTAACAATCTATTTAGTAATATATTCTGTAAATAGCAGTTTATCTGGTGATATCTGAATTGGCTGCTGTTGTAAATTGCACCAGTTTGAGGCCAAGAAGGTAGGACAGCAGGAAATATTTGCATATAAAAGTTACAGGGTGAAGATTTTTATTAGCGTCATCATTGCTTTCACTGATGGGTCAGAGAATTTTCTCTATCCACCGAGGAGCACATAATCCATAAAGAGCAGGGAAAACATGAAAATCAGCAGAAGCTACAGCCATTCTTACGTGAGGATCCACATCCAGGAATTTGCATAATCCTCAAAGATCTTCATGCCAACTTCTTTGGCACTTAGTAGACTGGCGATACCTCTGTGACAGAGTAACAAGGTGAGATGGGAAAAAGTGGGAAAGAGAAGAGGTGACAAAAAAGGGATTTAATAAGAAGGCAGAGGGGGACCGTGGCAGGTTTGTGTTACTGCCTCTCAGAGTTTGCAAGGGTTTCTCAAAAACATTTTGACATTTGATTTATCTTTAAAGCTCTCACTTTGAAACAAAGATGAATACAGTTTCAAAATGCTTTTGATAATCTCAGCTCTGTGAGACACTTATTGGGTTATGAGGGTCTTGAAAAAAATAGTTTCATATCAAAGAGTCACAAAACAGCATTAGTGTTGCTGAAGCGCTATTGAGCAGTAGTTCCTACAGTAAGGTGGGAAATGGTATGGCAGCGTGTTACTAAACGTGATACAGAGGAGCATCTAGTGATGGATATGTTGGGTCAAGAACCCATTTATTTCTGTTCACAGTACTCATTGCAGTTTTAAGTCTTGAAATGACTCAGTCAATCTAGAGATCTTAACTTAAACTTTCCCTGGGGGTGGGCAAAGACAAAGTTTCAAACAAAGACAAATGATTCTGCATGAAACCAAACATATTTCTTGTCAAATTTTATCAGTGAATTAAAAGAACTCTGGTAACAGAAATGAGAAACAGGCTCTGATGAAGAGATCTGTACATCACAAACAATAGACTTGTGTGGAATAAATGGAATGTTAATGTGCCCATTAGTTGGCACAGGATAGCTCCAAGTTCAGCTCCTCACCTCGGTTAAAAAGCTTAATTTGCCTTGACACCAACAGAAGGGAAACTACAACATTGGTAACAAAGTCAGGACATGACTACAGCAAGGTTTGACTGCAGAGACACTGCCCTATGACTCAGATAAATCTCTACAGTACACACAGGAGGGATAGAGGACACATTGACATTTCTGTGGGACAAACACAGCAGTGAAAGAAGTTCTGACAACAACCTTATGATGAAGAGCTCTAATTCAGCTGCCTAAAGGTCACTGAAACCCTGTCCATGTCTAAGAGTTTGGCTCATATCCAGCACTATTATGCAAACTTGCATTCATATCAAGTTTACAGTAGCTAACGTAATGACCACCAGGGGGCACTATATTACTTATTTTATTTGACAAAGGCTGTGCAGAGCCATTCAGAAAGTATGTATTCTGACTTGATGTTACCAGGTAGATAAATGCCACAAACAATTTCATTAATTTGCCCTAATTCTTCTCCACTGTTGCAGGTGGAGAGATGCAGTTGCAGATTCTTCATGATGAACAGCAGAGGGTTAGTCTCCACAAAGCTACCAACTACAGCGTGGGCAACGTTAAAAAGCTGAAATAAATCATTTTTGAGACCTTTCCACTCCTTGCTGCATGGCGGTTACTTGGCTACAAAAAGAAAAGCATTAAAGCACATTACATCTCCAGGTAAAACAGAGCAAACAAAAGCTTATCACATCAAACACAGAATCATGTATATTTATAATATCAGCTCACTGGTTTAAATACATGATTTCTCTGCCTGTCCAACCTTTGCTCAGTGCATTTACATGTTGACAGCATCAAGTTACAAAGCAGCTGTTATAAGCTTCTAAGTGTCCCTGAGGTTCTAACTCTTGAACTTGTAGGTAAGCTGCATTTTCATGCAATACACATGCAAATGACTTTGAATGTGGTTGGACACATTCCTGGGCATGAGCGACATGCCCACTTGTCCTACCCTTTAAAATTAGTCCAGAACTCTTTGGGTGCAGAGTTGGCAGCCCTATTGACAGTATAAAAGTTTACAACACTTTATTTTACGGGGTATATTATTATGCATATTATTTTACAACAAGAATGACAATTCTCAGTGTAATGTACTGTCTGTGACTTTACTACTTGTATAACTTAACTAGTTCAACAACAAGGAAAGACATTCACGTTGCAGGGAAGCGGGACTTACTTGGCAGCATCTTTGAGGTCGCTGACACTTCTCTCATTATTGTCACCATCTCTGAACATGGTCTGATTGGCTACGGTTAAAAGTCCATTTCTCGTAATGAAATCAGGGAAGCACCGCTGAAGGACTGAAAGACATTTTAAAAAAAAAAAGTTTTTGCTTTTAGTAGCTTGTCAAACAAATAATGAGCTATTGTGTGTCACTGTTTTTAATGGGCTTCGGAGTCACTTACAAGGTCTGCTTGGCACAATTATAGATGGGCAGTCTTCATCCCGCATGACTTCTGTCACTGACTGAAAGGGAGATAAAGGAGATGATGATTCAAACAACTGAAAACAATAGATTTATCTCTAACCGTTCATTCAACACTAATCTTTCCATTCACCAGTATGGCCTACAACAACAGTAATGGTTCCAGTTTACACAATAATAAAAATCTTACTTTAGCAACATTTAATGTTCAGCGATTATAACTTTGGCGTTATCAATATCACTATTCCTGAACAAGACAAAGGAGTCAGATGAGACAGAGTAGGACTAAATCCTGTCTGATGTAACACTGTCATACTTGTGATAATGTTGGAAGGGAAATCGATGATTCAGTTCAAACAGTATGACTGAGCTGTTAGGTGCTCCCACACACCACCTCACTTTCTGATCTTTACACACCATCATGCTAACGTCACTGTCACTGAACTGCTGCCAGCTAAGAGAACGGGGCTGTGATGTGCATCAGTAGCTGCTAACTCACATCCGCCTGTCTCTCAAAGCACATTCAAATAAGCGCGTCACTATAAGGACTGTACAGATAAAGCTGATGAAATCTAGGGATGCATTATTTTTTGTTTAAAAGCGATACCAGGGTGACTTTTTTAATAAAATTATATTTAATCAAGTGTTTTTCCTACAGAAGAAATGGGTCTAAACTCTGTCTCTCTAAAATTATGGGGACCTGCTACACATGTACAGTATCTGCCTGAAGGAAGAGACAAATTGGAACTCAGAACCAAAGTACATGAGAAAAAAAACACAAAACAGACCTCTAATCACCATCTCTCACCTTACTGCCGATCACGAAGCCTGGCTTGCAGAATTGCTTGTAATATTCCCACTTATTGGTTTTCCATGCATTAGGGAGAGTGTCAAATCTGTCAGGGCACTTGGAGACACAGAGCTGGAGGGGGCAACACATCTTCTTAATGAGAAAGCCCATCAATCTTGCATAATCAAGCATGGAGATAAAGTTGGAAGAAAAGCATTATAAACTGCACTGCTAGAAGGGGCTTCATTCAGTCTCTTACCTGGGTTGTAGGGCACTGGAGGTTAATTAAAACTGCAGGATTGGCACATTTCAACATGTTGAAGTAGAATAATATGGCTTTGTTTCTGTGGAGACAAATGACGATGAGGACAAGGAGAGGAGTCAGAGATTAGACAGATTCAGAACAGTGAGAAATCAGTTCATTACTGTGCAATGTTTTATCAGCAAGCATTCACTCACACTCTCACTCACTCACACACACACACACACACACACACACACACACACACACACTAATTAAACACAAATCATCTCCATGTATTGTGGTCAAAGCCTTTTATATGTGTAAAGATAACAATGGAAAGCTAAGAGATAATTTGAAGAACACAATTACTCCACTGTACAATAATTCAGGAAGCAGATATTTTTCCACTTACGCATTGGGGGTGTTCTTCTGGCCACAGAACTGACCGTGGCTGTCGGTTGGATAGACGACCTTCCTGGGGTCGCCATGGATCCAGGCTGAAAACAGAGCAAAACAGTTTTTTTTGTTTGTTTTTTTTTGTTTGAACAGCATGAATTTTAACATGTGAGGCCATACTAGACATGTACACTCTCTGACCCTGTTCAGATCTGGCATTAACATCCGTCTTGGGTGATCCGATCACAAGTGGACAGCTCTAAGTACAGGTGTGAACGCACCCAAGACACATGGAGGGCGCATTTGAGATCGCTCACAGCACATTCGGAGGTGGTCTGGGCCACATGTGGCCGCATTCTTTTAGCAGTGTGAACGCAAATTCGTCCCGGGCCACACTGAAGGACTGTCTACTCAATTGACATCCTCTGCCAAAGTCTGTTTAGTCCCGCCACAGTTTCTTAATGAACCAAAAATATTTTACTATTTCAAATGGCTAAAATCTTACGTGATCGTAGAGCTGTGTGCATTACAATGATCTGCTCAGCCCACCCTTGCCCCTGATCTCTTTATATCAAACACATTAATAACAGACCTGTCTGTCACAGTCTGACTGGTTAAAAACAACAACACATATGTGTATATTTGCATAAGGAACAAGGAAGTGAGATCCGATCACAAGTCCACTCCAGATGATGACAGATGCATTTTAATGCCAGGTGTGAAGTGACGAACTTAGAGCTGTCCACTTGTGGTCTAATCAACTGAGACACATGTTGATGCCAGTCTTGGAGTGTGTAAATCAGACAGCTTGTGCAGTTTTTTTTATCAAAGAGAGAAAATGACCTGCTACTTAAGGACAAGCATTGCATCACTATTAAAGCAGAGCTGGGTCAAAGAGGTTCCTGCTTAAATCAATACGATTCCTGAATTCTGTGAGCGCATCAGGCCAAAGTCATGTGTCTCTCCTGGTACAAAGCAAGGACAAAAAATAAGCAACACAATTAACAAGACAACAAGGGAATTTATTTGGAGGATTGCATGAATGCATATTAATTGAGAAGAAACATCTACACACACACAAAAAAAAAAAAAAAAAAAATCAATCCAGTTTAATTTGTTTTGTTTCTCTAGATAGGAGTAGCAGTAACCCTGAAGTTCAATTTACTAAGCAATTCTAGTGTTTCATTTGTTTGCCCAACCTGAACAACATGGTATTAAGGCCTTTCACCTTGCCACTCAATGAAGGATTGTGCTCAATGTGAGACAGCAAAACATAGGCATTTTACAAGTCTTTGACACAACAAGGATGATGAAACTGAAAAATTATGCATAAAGAACAGCAACTTCTTCAGCTGATTGCAGATGTGTCAGTGTCTATTTGAAGTCACATCTATTGTCATGACTCCTGCTCTTCTTAAATGATTGGAAAACATTAAGTCTTTCCCTTGCCCAGACTGAGATGTGATTCCAATGACAACAAGCTGGCAACGAATGGCACTTTCATAACAGTAGTGGGACATCATTTTCCCCTTATTTGTGTGAAAGAGGGAGAAAAGGGATGTGCGGTCAGGTGTGCTGGAAATAAATCAAAATATGTTTTTGTATGAGAAATGGGTAAAGAAAAGAGGCAGAGTGATAAAAAGAAAGAGAAAGAAATAAGAGTAGATAGACAGGCAAAAAATTTGAAGGAAAAAGATAAAACCGAGAAGAAGGGAGAAAGGGAGAAAAGGGTAAAGAACAAGAAAGACAGTTAAGGAGAGCAGATGGGGAGATTCACAAGCTTCACTAACACAATCACATCGAGTCAAGACACAACTACAGTACCCTACCAGCTGCATGTTGTGGTGAGACTCCTACTTATTAAAATAATAGCCAATTCTCTGGGGGAGCTACATTTCTCAACTCCCCCACACTTTTAACAATAGGCCATTTTGTTGAGGAAACCGCAATGAAATTATGTCAAGTCAAACCAACTCACAAAAAAAATTGAAACAAAAAACAAAACAAACAAAAAAAAACAGCTTGTATTCTCTATAAGTGTTAGTGTTTCCTGTGGAGAGAAGCAGGTCCATTTTGTTTATGGTAAACAAATATGTTGTCAAATTATTGTCAGACAAACATGCAGAGCGCATCCTTTCCATTCATTCTAAATGCTGGATATTTTGAATTGCACAACCAGGCAGGACAAGATAAATGAGCAATTCACACTTCCAGACCAGAACATATCATCCCTGCTGTGCATGTCTATGTTTGTGTGTGTGGTTGTGTGTCATAATGAAACTTTGTGTGATCAGCAGCAATGTGTCAAACTCACCCACGGTTCCCAGAGCGATGTAGCCGAGGATGACAATGACAAAGATAACACAGCAAACCACATCAGTGCAGCTCCTGGAAAAGAAAAATGTGTGCGGACAAATGAGACATGTATGTGAAAACAAGATTACGAGAGAAATAAGGTTATTTAATATGGTTGGTTGTTGTTTTTTTTGTTGTCCAAAACTGAATCATGAGTTAAGTCATTTAGCAATGTGTCTGGAGGGAGAATTTGTAATTCACCTCACCTGAATGAGAAAAAATATTGTATATTATATGTTTAACCATTTCGTTGTTGGTAATTATGACATACAGTAGCTGCTCTATGGCAAGTGCATCTGAGATCTATATCTGGGTGCAGTACTTGCAACCAAGCATGACAAGGTGTCATCTGTATACTGTTTTTATTCTTTTTTTTTTTTTTTAGAGAAACTGTAGTAGAGCTCTTCTGACTTTCTAATGAGACTCTGAATCCCCCCAGAATTCTGTCCCACAGGCACAGAGACAGCTTTTTGAACATTGCCTCTCCACAGCAGTCTTAGTCTGATGGTTTAAAGCAGCCTCTCTCTCTCTCTCTCTCTCTCTCTCTCTCTCTCTCTCAATCCTTCTTCACTGTCTCTCTCATAACAAGCTTTCTTCCCCTCCTTTCCACCCTGAGAGAAGCTGTCAGTCCAGCCCCTTCTTAGCCCTCTTTCAAAACTATTCAGACTATAAGCACTGAGCCCAGCCTTGAATAAAGCCAAGTTCAATCCCCTGTGCAAAGTGGACATGTGTATAAGGGAAATGCGTACCCTCCTCCTAACACTTTATGCTACACAAATTAAATTGACACCCTCATTTCCTTCAGCTTTCAGCCCTTCTCTTTCATCCAGAGAAGCAAAACCAAGGTCAAACAGAGGCCTGGGCTCAGAGATGTAACAGTGTTTTCTTTGTGTAGTTCTTTGAGGAGTGGATTGTCCTTGTTTTGCATGCAGCATCGTTACATTGTTCTATATAGACAGCACGTGTGTTGCTTTTAAGTCTCTAAATATCATTTCATGATTAACGGTCAAGAGAGCACTGATCCACTGAGAGGACATCAGCTGAAGGATCAACCCATACTAAGAGGGATAAAAAAGTGCTTATACAAGCACTAATGCATTTATATTAAGATGCAAACACATTTATTTTAAATGCACTTTTATTAACAAACATAATGATTTCAACTGCATTTTCAGTGTATCCGCTTAGATTTAGGGTCAGCTGTTTAACTAAAGCTTGCACTGCAAATTATCATGGACTGTTAACAAGTACAGCTGCAATTAAGAGATATTTTCATGGTCCTGCATTAATAACTGCAGTAAAGCTTGCAATCTATGTTAACAGGCTGCTCTGGTAGATTGGTTTCCTGAACTTAGCAATATGGAGGATTGGGAGTTTTTCTTATCCCAGCAGGACTATTAATACTCCTCGTTTCTCATTTCAGAAGATGATGATTCCACTATCGCCACTCTTATCTGAATTACATTAAGACTTTATACCTGCAAATTCAAAATGTGATATTCTCCACTCATAACCTGGACAGCATGTTTGGAGCTGATGGTAACAGACCCACAGACCATCAGCTCTGTATCTTCAGGCATATATTCCAACATCAGCTGAAACCTCTAATACACAACATTTGATGACGATAGACTAAAAGGTTGTTGGTTGTTATATGAAAAAATGCTTAGGGAGTTGTGAACCATATCAAGGTGTAAACCATTATTTTTTTGGAGATAATAGAGAAACAAAGGCAGCCTAAGTGGCCACAGCTCTGCCTGATGAAGACAGCCACAGTTTTACAATGACACTCTACGCTCAGAGTGTAAAGACAACCTGCCGCACAACCAGCCAAGCTGTTGCTGATATTGGGCATATTATTTACAAAGGGAGACAAGGGAATACCATTTCATTTCATTCAAAAAGAGCAAGGGGAAGAGCTATCTGGGTTGCCTTGGCGATGACTGCATTACTTGTTTTCAAATTCCTCTCTATACTAGATAGCAGATAGGTTAGCTATCACTCAGCCTCACATCCTAGGTAATTAGAGGGAAATATTTGAGGGGTGGGAGTGTAAAGCAGACCTTGCCTCTCCTCAACTGTAATGAGAGTTGCTGTCTTGTTTCACAACTGCCTCGTATAGACGACTGCATTATTAAGACAAAGTGCAAACACAACACCACGGTGCTAATAAAAGTCGGCTTTGAGGCATGCAAAGGTGAGTGTGGAAGGGAATGCTGACAAAGTGAGGAGAGTGAAAACAATTCTGTTTTGTTGTCTTATCGCAGGAAAGCAGGCCACATGGACTGCAAGGCAGATCCAAAATATAGGCAGTCTGCAAATCTATGCGGACTCCTACCTGGCCTCACTCCCAAACCTCAGAACTCCTTAGTTGTCACTTAAACACACATAAACAGTTACCAAAGCATTGCCCTGTTTGTGAACTGTACTGGCAGACAGTGATGCTTCGAAAGAAAAAAAATCATCATGGAAAGCTTTGTCAGTGCAATGAGAAACTTTTGTGTCAGTGTTATATTTGCAAGGCTGATACTCTGCAGGAGCCAAGGTGACACAGATGGCAGCAGTGCCACAGAATAGCGTGGGTGCCATTGTGGTGTGAATCTGCCAGACTGTCCCTGCTTTATAACAAGACATGAACAGGAAGGGATATTTGGAGGGCCAGATTTGCACACAAAGGGTTTTTCTCACGGTCACAAGAGTCAAGAGGGAAATCAGCTCAAGTGAGCAGCTTTCATGACAAATACAAGCCTCTTTTAGGTAAGCTGTCACACATACTGTGAAGGGAGAGAACAGCTGATTTATAGTTACATTTGTTTGCGAGTGTGCAATTATAATGAACTGCACTCTGACACTCAGACCACTACAAGAAGCATTATCACATTGCAATGTGATAGTGTAGTTATAGTATACTGCCCTAGTATATATTTTTGACACCGATTGTGTGCATTACATTGTTTATAGCTGAAGCCAGTTTGAATTAACACTACGCTGTATCCACTTCTGTTTGGCCTTGAGAGGACTTGCTTAATAACAGATACAGTTACTTCATTTAGGCATTGAACTTGGATGAAAACAAGACGACCACAGAGTCGGTTCTCTCCCAGTTCTCATTAAGAAAAAGCCTCTGAGCCACAGAAACATCAAAGTATCCTTGGTGCCTTCACCCAGCTGTAGCAGTGAAATGGACTGGAGAGGGTGGGATAAAGAGACGCAGGAGGACTGAAACATGCCTTCACAGCAGCCTGCCAAACTGACACTGAACATAAAAGAGATAAGAGCCTGCGTTACCTCAGAAAATTACTAAATCATCAAAAAAAGCCTGTGGTGAGTGCCTAGAGGGATTTTGCTTTATTGCAAAATTGTGCTCTTCACTGTACTAAATCAAGGTGGCTAAAATGGTTAAAATTTATTATTAAATTCTAAACTTATTTTCACAAATGCCATATAGTCATTTTTGGAGGGAAAATTTCCAACCTAAAGTTTATGGTTTTGTGTTCCTTAATATGGTGGACCACATGCGTTAAGCACCAACATTTTTTTTTATATTTACTTTAAGATTTTCTAATCTTTTTAGGCATGTGAAATTTTAAGTCCCAAAATTATAACGAAACTTATGACATCCTTTGAATTGTATTTTATGATATTATACAGTTTATAAATGAAGGTATGGTCCTAACAACTATAAACAAATATTAATGTTTGAGTAGTTTTAACACACTTTTATGTGTGTCAGTTCGTTTCGATCAATCGTATTATAAGCTACTGCTTTTTAAACACTATTTTTAAACAAACATTTCAAATCAAATCAACGCAAATGGTAACTAACTGTGACGTGTAAAGAGCTGTAGGTCTCCTGAGGCAGATAGCAGACTGCAGTGCTACTGTGCTGCTGGTTGACAAACAGGAGACATTTCATTATCTCCCTGTAATAGGCCCTGTGATGTGGGGACTACATCTGTTTTTGGTGCATCTGGCTGGTTAATAATGTGTGTCATTGGGCTAAGTCCAGCCACCAGCTTGACTTATGGCCATTGATCTGTGTGGTGGAGTGGAGAGAGCTGCCAGCACTCGGCCTCAATCTTTATTAACATAACATGACAAGTGATCGATCTATCAGCACCCTGACGGTGGTGTGTGCCAAAGAGATTATGCAATGGGTAAAAATCTATACACATGTACGAATCAGATGTTGGAAGATAATGACGTGATTAAAGGGTCAGTTCACACAAATTACAAAAACCATATTTTCTTACAGAGTACTATTGGTGTCTTGAGATTTCTGCATCCAGTTTAATACAATGCAAGTGAATAAAATTCCATCTTTAGTGTATGATGACAAAATGTCTTTCAAATGTATGTTAACATATTTGTAAAAGGTGGTGATGAGTACATGTAGTACCTGTTATGAACAGGCCCTCTGAAGTTTGGGTCGAACTTGCGTGGCTCACCTATAAGACAAGAAGAGTATGGACAGTATTAGAGAACATGAGCATGGCATAATCAAAAGAAACAATTACAGTTCAATGACAGAGTGCATATAGATGACATAACAGCAAACTGCACGGACTAATATCTGGCTCACCAACAGAGTGAGATAAAAGATTGTTTTTATGATGTTTTTGCTTTCTTGGAGCAAAAGGAAACATAGATGAGACGCATCTAATTTATCTAAACATTTATGACATTTCATTACACTGATACCATATACAAGTCAAGTATCACAAGTTAACCTGCTGTGCCATTCAATTCGCAAGCTAACTAGGTCATTTCACAGTGCAGGTCTCCTAGCAGGACTGAGAGGAAGAGGGATGATCATCCTAAACTAGAGCTGTAAACGCAAAAACAGTGTACCTTATATGGAAATATAATAAATCATTTTAACAACTTTTAAGCCAAACAGCTTAACTGGGTCACAGTGAAGATTCCCCATTTGACCCAGCAGAGTAAATACTGCATCACAGTTGCAAGCATCATCATTCACACCCAAGGGGCTAACTTCGACTGTGCTAACTACATACGCTTGTAGGTGTGACAGAGCACATGCATTTGCATTCATCATTGGCTGCTTATTTGGTGCCAAAGTAATCTCTACCTCAGTTGAAACTAAGTACAATGTGTTCCTGAGGACCTATTAATCATCACACATGGAGCGTAATATCGCCAAGCAGCTGGGGCAGACTTAGGGGCAGCATGAGTGGGCCTATCTCCCATCTGCCCATTTTCCGAACTGAGCCTGCTGAGAGACGTACAAGCCACCATCGCCTCTAAAAATGTGAGGAATGAGTGCATTGCGCTATGCACATGCAAATGTGACAGGCCTGTTCTGAGTGTACTATAACATTTTGCGTCTAAATTTAAAGAAAGAGTATGCAACTTTTGCTGAGCAGCAGCAATAGCAGTCTCTGCAGCCACAATTGGTAGATGTTGGGCTCTGAGTCTGAGCAGCTAAGGCCTATCAATAACTCAGGCAACAAACACATAACAGTCTAACTAGAAACCAGCAATCACATTGTCCACTCATGTCAAGTCAGCATTCAGCTAATCTGATTGACCAAAAACATCTGGACCCACAATAGTTGTGTCCTAATGTGTAGCTACTAGGAGTTTGTCTTTTCGCCTCTGTTATGATGTCCGTACTAAGAATACCAAGCTAGCTTCTTCTTATAGCTCTCTGTGTGTTTTAGTACAGTTACAGTACAGTAATGCCTGTACCAGAGAAAATTAACTGGATAGGGTTACTGGTCTAACCTGTCTTCAGTACAAGAATGAACAGTTTTTATTTTATCTGAGTGTAAAAGTCAGTAAATGGTTAAATGTAGTAATTGGCCATAACAAGCATTAAAATCACTACAATATAAACATTGGAGTCTTATTTTTTATCTCTAACAAATTTACTATGGTAATGGTAATGACATTATGAACAGCAAGTGATATCCATCTGTGTGGAGTGAAAGAAGCATGGCTGATTATTGTGAGTGAAAAAAGAATTGTGGTCAGTCAAAATATTATAATTAAGGACAAAGTAAAAAGCAACACTTACGGGGAAAAAAAGTCCCTCATGTCTTTTTTTCAGTTGAGATTATAAACATTTTGATGACTCATTTTTGTGTTTACATATTTATTATAGCTTGGTGATCTTAAGTCTGTACTGCCTGGATGCAGTTACTGTAGTTTAGATGTCAATTGGCAGCAGCTGCAATATCAGAAACCCTGTAGTACAACAAATACATACAAAAAATTCCCCTCTCTGCCTAGAAACGTAACTGATTCAGCACAGTAAACCTTGGCAGCTGCTTTTCACACGCTGCCAGCTATGCATACCTGAGTGAGCGAGTGAGTTCCTACAACTGGCAATTGCTTGGCCGTAGTGAAATTTGTTTGTGCTGTACCAAAAAAGGTTTCAAGGGCCAATATTTCTGCCCAAAGATAATACACACATTTGTAAATGCATATGTACAGTATATATTCATGGAAAAAAAAATCTTCTCAGTTATGAGTACTTTAACGAGGTCCAAAGGCACTCCAAACCCTGGCAGCATACTGTACTTACTCCATAAAAATAGTTACCTGGTAAAATCATTTTCAAGATTCCATTTTACACCCTTATGTGCATACATTCATTTCCCTGCTGTTGTTTCTCTGCTGCAGCAGTAGTGGTCTGAAGGATAGAGATGCCAAATCTCTGGGCCAACAGCCAAATAATGTCTGAGAAAGCAGCTCACCCATGAGGTGTGCTTAAGCTGCATAGTCAGCAGCAAAAAACTGCCAGGACCAGGAAATTCACTTGTGTTGAAGTGAGTTGGTATTTTCACATCTCTCCATTTCTGTTCATTCTTACAAGCTGTATATTGCAAATGGTCAAGAATTATGGCAGATGAAGGGGCGCATGTGTCAAAGGTTACAAATTCAGCTTTGAACCACTTGCTGGTCTCATGACTACATGGGACCATGTGAACCTGCTGAATCACAAGGACATTCCTTAACATGCACTGGAGGTGTAATTACAGTATGACCACTTGCGTGGGCTACTAACCTTGCTTTAAAAAGGTATTTGATATGAGAGGCTCCATGTCCCTTTTTCTTTTGTCCTTGCTGTTAAAAAGCTTACTTTACAGCCATCTGTTTGGTTGTCACTGAAAGTCACTCACTTGTTTCAGGGCTAAAAATGGGAGATGCTCCGGGTTAAGTGTGTAAATTCCTGAGCCAAGGACACAATGTCACTAGACCAGGTGCTCACTGCAGCATTTGCAGGGCACTGGCATTGAATGTAAGAGGATGCTACTCTGTATTATACCTAAGTTGAGGACAGAGCTCATACAAAAACGCAGAAATTATATATCATACACATAACCTGCTATAATAATACAGCTTGAGACAGTTATAACTGATAGTTTTTTTTTAATAGTTAAAACACAAAGAGGGACCATGAACCATGCTGTTAACTGACCAACTACAACTAAAAAGCTTGAATGAGTCAAAAGCCAAGAACCAGGGTCAGACATTCCAACTTACATTTAGTTTAAACATGTGAATTGAAGACAGCTCCATACCACTCAGATTCTAATTTGGGCCTTCTAAAGTCAGCAACTGCGTACCGTGAACTGACCGAGTTGAACCATTCCTCTGTGTTGTGGCCTAAGTTGCCTCCAATCGCTTTAATATCCCAGTGGTTGTTGCTACAGCTTCTTGGCCAGCAGGCTATATCACATTTACTCATATCAGAGCTAATTAGAGGTACAGCTGCTGGGGGTGAGGAAGATACATAGCTCACTACTAGACTGGGTCCAATATAAGCTGAATATACATAGACTTTAAAGAAATCCTTTCATTGATCTTTCTAGGTTGCGTGAATATTAAAAATGCTTGCAGGTCTCCACGGAGGAGGAGCAGTTGTGGTAAAACCAGGTTAGTCCATATGGCGTGTGCAAGCTGAATCACACTGAGATCAAGGGGAGCCAGTGGCGAGAGGACAGATTGTGGTGCAGTGAGTGTCAGGGAGCGGAGCTTTTTTCAGAATCATGTCAGTGGTTTCTTGATCATCAGCCTACTGTTTGGGGTTGTGGCGCCTGCCAGAATGTCCAGCAAGAGGACCAACAGGCAACATGGTCCCCTGCCAACTGACGAAAAATTAGGGCAGTCATTATGTTGTTCAAAACCCAGAATAGAAGACCGTCAATACAATATGACAGTGGGAACAAAAGCACAACATGTGATTGTGCAAGGATACTCTCCAACAGCAGTTAACATTAGAGTGTATTGCATACTAAAATATTCTGGAGGATTACAAACCTCTTCAATCGAATACAATAACATTCAGGTGACAGAGCATTTGCTTATTCAGCTAAGGTAAATTTAGCTTCAGCTGCTGTTCCTACTCATTACATCAGCCTTACTACTTCCAGTGGTACTTTCCTCTGGCCCAAAAAACAGGTTTCAATGAAGGGTTAAAAGAGAGTGGTGAAAATCATCAGTGATGCTGGGCCACCAGCAGACTCTGCATTAGATGACGGCTGTTTAGACTGCACTGCAGTCTGCCAGTGCAGGAGATGAGGCTGGTGGACTGGATGTGAGCTGCTGGCTGTCGTCAGGCTGAATGAGGGTCTGTAGTCAACAACATTTGGAAAAAGCCTGGCAGGCATGCTACACTGGGACAGCTAGAGTCACTGTTAACTCCACTAAATGTTAGTCTCCTCTATTGACATAGTGTTGGATAATGCCACCGTGTCCCTGCTGTGACTGAAAGATTTACGCATAACACAACAATCACTGTGGTAATCAAAGGTTCTGAAGCAATGAGGCTGGTCGGGGTGAGGAATTACACATCAGGATCAGACAAAGGCTTTGGCAGTAATCTTCACTCCCCAGTCCCACTTGCATTTGCAGCTAGTCTGCCATTGCAACAAGATCGATGCATCAATTTACAGTGATGAGGACCGAAACAAGGTAAACTAAGTCTCTGACAGAAATTAAAATTATGTGTTAAAATTCCTGCTACCAACAGATGCTTAATAAAAGCACTCAAAAAAGATTGAAAGGCACAGTGACACTGCCTCAATTTGAAGTCCCTACAGATTCTGAAGTATGTGCTGAGATTGACTGCTGATCTACTCATCTTCACAGTACCTGTGCTAGAAGGGAGCCATTTGTAACAACACGCCAGAGGCAGTTCATCGCCTTGTATTTCACAATTTGGGAGGAAACTAAATTGCACACTTATCTTCTGTGGGTCACTCACAAGGTTAGTCTGCTAAGGGATTATTTTCTGTGTATGTGTGTGTGTGTGTGTGTGTGTGCAGTCTGAGACCACTTATACTGCATCTATACTATGTGTAGATACATTATATACTACATTCAGAAAATATCCAGACCACTTCTGCTCACTTTTTCACATTTTGTCATGTTGTAGCCTTATGCTAATAGTTTAAATTAATTATTTCCCTCATCAATC